AACTTGCTAAAGAAAGTCAGTGGCCACTGGATTGGAAAAGCATCCCAAAAACCTACAAAATTGGGAGTCTTGCAAAGCAACTTAGAACTGTCGCAGGAGCAATTGGGGCAGTTCAGCACAAGCTTGCTTAGCGGCCTGCTGCTGCGAAGGACTCAAAAGAGACAGCTGTTTGGAAACACGGCCATGCTTTGAGTAGCGTCGCACTGAATCAAAAGTTGCCCAGCAACCACGCTGCTGAACGTCAGGCAGAGTGGAATTACCAACAAAGTAGTCATGGGAGGCTCCTCCATGCCGCAGGCAATGAGGACTTAACTTCAGCTTGGTGATCTTGAGAGAGCGAACAGCATTCCGAAATTCCCCTTCAAGGTTGTTGAGCGAGAATGGGAAAATGGGACCATCCGTCGTTCCAGCATGCTTGGTATACAGCTTGCCAAGAAGAGTTCCCACCCATTCACGACCTTTCATCCCAACCATCAAGCTATCGTTGAATTGACCAGTTTTGGAGGGCTCCATCATCTCATGAGGATTCAAGAGTAGGGCCCATTGCTGGTAACGTTTGTTGAGACCCCGGCTGGGAGGAATGATGTTGCTGTGTTTCAACCCACAAATCTTTCCAGGTCGAACATAGGTGTCAAAGCTCAGCATAACTGCAGCAGCATGAAAAACCAAGCCTTGGGTCACCATGTAGTATGCAATCCAGCATGCTACCTCATAGGGACAAGGGTCACGTGAAGCGCCGGGCTCCAAGTTCCCCCATCCTTTCTTGGCAGCTTTAGTCAGCGGATAGTTGGACCTGGCACAAGTGGGCCACTGAGGATATTGGATGTTGCAGTTCTGCAAGGCACACGTCAGGAGATACTTCGAACTGCCTGCCAGAAACAAGGATTCTCCAAACGCTTCAAGTGACTGGTCCAGCTGAGACATAGAAATAAACTTGCTGGTGGCAGCAGTCAGAAGGTTCACAGACACGCAGTAACTGAGAAACTGTGACCAGGAATCGTCATAGGCCTTCCGCGTTGAGGCCTTTCGGATCCTAGCTCGACGCAGGAATCCAGGCAGCGTGTCCGAGACCTTCTTGAGTCTAGCTTTCGCAGTCATCTGTGGGCTCTGTGCCCCACGTGTCGACTGCATCTTTCCACGGGCTAGTGGACTTGAAGGGGCATGGCTTGATGACGACTGAGCTCGGGACGAATGAGCGAGTGACTTGACGAATTTCATCCAGCCACCCGCTCAAAAACTCGGGTTCCCTTAAGGTCCGATGCGCCGCCAGTGGAGCCAAACCTTTAAGAACTTCAGCCCATGCATGACATAGCTCTCCTAGGTACTCTCCAGCTAGAGAAGTCTTCCAGAACCACTTAAAACAACCATCTGACACTTCAAGCTTAACTCTGCCCCTCAAATGCTCGTGTGGCTGAGGATGACCGTGGCAGCGTCTTGACAAGCTTTGTAGCTGCTTGCAGTTAGTTGCCAGAACAGTTGGTTTTCGGTAGCTGCATCCAAACCTGCAACAGTCATATTCTACCACCCAAGCAGACGACTGTTGAAGAGCTCGTCGAATACATGGTTGGTGAAAAAGGTTAGAAGACTTGGGGTTCTCCAGCGAAAAGAAAACGTTGCACCGATGACACAAACGAATAAGGCTTGCAGTCAGATAAACACACTTCATGGCACTCTGTAGTCGTTTTCCAGTGGTGTTGTTCTTTGCAATGCTAAAACATGTAGGCCCAATGTGCAGAAACCAAACACGCCCAGACTTGATCCAGTCCATGACCAAGTTCTGAACACCGGTCTTGGTAAGATCAAAGCACAACCCGTTCTGGAGTTCAAATGGAACTGCAACTCTTAGACCCTTCACATACTGACTGCAGACGACAGTCGCGACGAACCACTGAAAATCTCTAAAAAACTAGAGCCAACCACCGGAGCGCTGCTACGTGTTTTCGCAGACCGCAGCGTCGGTCTGTGGCACAACTCGGGAACCATGAGACTTTGCAGCCTCGAGGGAGGAGACCCTCCACTCCGAGTCAGCAGGGCACATTGTCATGATGGCACCAACTGCCGGCCACCCCCCCCGACCGTGATTCGCAGTCTGCCGAAGCAGCCGCGCTGTTGACGAGGAGCTTGGCAAGGGAGGGTAACCGGTGTTGGCGCCGTGGGCTGGCCTTTCTTGTTTAGAAAACCGACTGCGGTTCGGCGCAACCCCAAGCATCCAACCTTTGATGCCTTTGACTACAATGTTCGCGGAAACGTTGATGAGGTTGGTGGTGCCAGAGCATCTCAGTATGGAGAATGGATTGCTGAACAGCAGAAGGCCGAAGCAAAAGCTCTGAAGAGCACTCGAGAGTGGAGGGAAGAGCAAGCTGCAGACCGAAGGAGGGCCAATCGTGGTGCCGACAAGGACGATTCAGATGAGGATGATTCAGTTGGTGGTGTTAAGAAGAAGAAGAAGAAAAAGGGCAAGGGCGCCAATGGCGGCGCCCCAGCGACATGACTGCCGCCAGCTGCCGCCGTACTGGGGGCGGCAATACAAGTACCCGTGCTTGCATGTTTTCGAATTCAACTACAGGTGGCGCCAATGCCGATGTCTTCCCGCTCCCGGTCCCTTTGTGGTTATCTAGGCGGGTTCGTGGCTCCACCTTCCTCACTGGTGATGCGGGTTCTTCCAAGGAGTTTGGCAAGCGTCAGACTGGTCGTATAGCGGAAACGGTCCGTGCTTTGAACACACTGGGGAGAACTTCGGCAGTTGATATCAGGCGAGGCAGTTTTCTTCTTGATGGGCATCAACCTAGTCGCAGGCCGACCCGTCTCCAGAGTGCCGTTCTCCAGAGACTGTCATCCAGAGTGGTGGCTTCCGGCGCCTGCCCAAAAGGTTTGACACCGAAGTCTTGCTTTGAGGATGTGATCAAGTCAAAGGACATGTACTCGCTTTCTCAATGCAATGTCGCACCCTTCAACATCGACTTGCTGAAGGTCACAAAGACTGCAACGGTTCCCAAGCCAGCAACCCAACTGTTGCCTGAGGCGGAAGCCAGATATTTGGAGCAGCCAGATGAGTTCCTGATTCGCTCACCTGCGGAAATAGACAGGTGGTGCCAACTCAATCCCAACTTCCAACCTTACTGGGATGAGACCTTGCGACGTGACAAGGCAGCCAGGTATGACTTGTATCGCAAGTTGGTCGCCAAGTCATTGCTGGGATTTCGCCGGAGGATCAAGGCCAAGGTCGGCCTGTTCTTTGTTTGGAAGTCGGAGCGCAAAGGTATTCGCATGATCGTGGATGCAAGAATGCCAAATGGCTTTCATCGACAGCCGCCCAAAACCAAGCTTGGTGGTGCAGCAGCCCTTGCAGAGCTTGACGCCTACTTTGAGGAGTCTGACATGCCACAACTTACTGAGGGGTATGGTGGGCCAGTGGAACTGCCTTGCTCTCTTTTTGGATGCACTGGTGACGTCAGTGATGCCTTTTACCAGTTCTCAGTTGAGTCTTTAGCTGACTGGTTCGGGCTGGATGACCCAGTGACAGCAGCAGAGTTTGGTGTTTCAGAAGTTTGGGATGATGAACTTGGCCGGCTTGATTCAGTTCACCCCACAGAGAAGCTGTTCCCTGTGTTCCTTGGGATGCCCCAAGGCTGGGCTTGGGCTTTGCACTTTTGCAACACTGCAGTTGAGTATGGCATGTCTCGGGCAATCCCCCCAACTCAGTTTGTGAAAGAGGGTATGCCTCCTCCTGACCTACGACAAGGGCCGGTTGGCAGTGTTTATGTTGACAACACTGGGGCATTTGGAGTGGTTGAGAAGGTCGTCGCGACTTCCTTCGAGAAATCAGTCGAGTCTCTTGAGCGCGCTGGCTTTGTCCTTCATGAGATTGACAAGGCGTCGGTCGAAGTTGTCAATGTTGGCATCGTCTTGCATAGAGACGAACTGAAGATCAGACACACGAGGAAGAGGAGCTGGCGACTGTACTTAGCACTAAAGCATGTGTTGCAATTGCGGTGCATCACTGCTGAAGCGCTGAGGGTGGTCGCAGGGCACAAAGTGCACTACTTTTCTTTGTGTAGACCTGGCTTGAGTACCTTGCACCACACCTACAAGTTCATATACAAGTGGCTTGACCAGAGGGCGCACGTGATCCCTGGTTCAGTGAAGCGTGAGCTGCGTAGTGTTGTTGGACTTGTTTTTCAGGTGGAGAAGGATCTGGCGGCCCCATACGCCGACAAGGTTTACTGTGGTGACTCCAGCTCTTATGGTTTTTGCTTTCAGTGGAGCCCCTCGTCTGCGCAAGAGCAGCGAGACCTTTTTCGGTTTCATGAGCGGTGGCGCTTTGTTGAGGTGGAAGAGGGCATTGGCCTCGGGCTGGGAACTCACCACTCCTGGTCAGCTGAACTGGATGTACCTGACATTGCGTATGTCAAATGGCTTCGAAAGCGCCTCGGGCTCCCAGCAGCTGATAGTGGAGCGCTTGAACCCGGCCAGCGGGGCACGAGCCGTGAGGGCAGACGCTTTCAGTCGGTTGACCTTGTTGGGCTTGTTCCTAGGCTGCCCGACTCCTTGTTGCAGCCAAGCAGATGGAGAACCGTAGTGCAGCGAAAGTGGAAACACCCATGAACCGATTCACATGAAGGAAGGGAGGGTTGCCTTGATGTCTTTGAGACGCGAAGCGCGATCTGTCGCGTCCCACGGCAAACGACTCCTCACACTCTGCGACAATCTGTCAGCTGTATGCGCGTTTGATAAAGGCAGGGCAAAGTGCCGTCGCGCACTAGCCATCCAGATTGCAACGGGCATTCAATGGCACTTGCGATATGTGGAGACTGCTCGAAACCCTTCGGATGAAGGGTCTCGTGTTTTCCCTTCACAGATGAGTCAGTTCACTAAACAAGAAAGGCCAGCCCATGGCGCCAGCGCCAGTCACCCTCCTTTGCCGAGCTCCTCGTCGCCAGCGCGGCTGCTTCGGCAGACTGCGAAACACGGTCGGGGGGGGGTGGCCGGCAGTGGAGGCCATTGTTATGAGAGCTGGTGAGGGATCTCAAGTCTCCGCTTCCCAGCTGAGTCGGATCTCCAGGATTCGACGAACTACCTGCTCCATCGACGCCAAGTTGGTGGGGTCTACCTGATCATAGCTGGTTCCAAGCCGGAGCACAGTGAGGAGGTTCTTCTACTCGTGAGCTGCTGCACTGTTTTCAGAGAGACCTGACTTTCGCATGAACGAGCTGTGGTACGTCATGATGTCCCCACCATTCTGAAGGATGCTCTCCAAAAAATCCTTCACCGCCTTGGGCCCGCGGTGGGGCCAGTCTGTGAACTTCGAGTCCGACATGCTCTCAAGCAAAGTTGTCGCTTCCCTGAAGCCAGCCTGGTGCACCCAAGTAAACGAAGGTCTCCTGCATCACCTCCAGGCAAACCAGGCCTCTTGGCGTTGGACCAATTGTCAAAGTCCAAAACATACTCAAGGGTGAAGATAGACCCATCAACACAGTGAAGCCGCTTTCTGGCCCCATTGCGCTCTAAGATCACATTCTTGGTGACGTCAGCGAGGTCTGATGCCGGGATGATGTCCCCAAAACGCTTGGAGTCCACATCTGCTATCCGCCAATGGCCTGTCTCTGCAGCATCTCCACCAGAAGCAACACCAGGACGATCAGAGCACCCTCTCACAACCGCCAGAGAGTCAGCCTGCCGCTTTATCTCCAGATAGGATCGCATCAGCTCCTGATTCCTAGGGATGTACATTTGTCCAGCATATGCTCCGGGGTATTCAGAGTTTCTGCTAAGAGGGACCACCGTCACTCCATCGAAGTCTTCCTCATACACATCGTAATCCGGGGTTGAAATGATCCAGGTAGAGCGGTCGACCCGATACCGGATCCGGTGGTGGAAGTCTAGGCCGTTGGGGTCACCCGCGAACTCGACTAGCATCTGCAATTCTGGAATATCTAAGGTTCTGGCGGCAGCCATACTCAGGCAGCCACTCAGCCTGGCACCTAACTCAGCTCGGGCAGGTGAGCTCTCGCTCTCAGTGATCGCACGAGTCACTGCCTCTGGGGAAGTTGGCACACGACGCAGGGCTGGCAGAAACTTCCCAATGCCAATCCCAACCACAAAGACCACAAGCAGCAACCACAACCAAGAGAAATCCCAAGGGTCACGTGAGCTACCAGTGGTAGTAGTGGTGAATGAACTGACCAAGGAGGTTTCAACACAGTGAGAAACTACGTCTTTCACCAACTGAGAACAAGATTCGATCCCAATTGTCACCCCACAATTGCAGTCACAGCTGGTAGGGAGCCTGGACCAGAGAAGCAGCTGAGACAACGAGTTGGCTAGGTGAAGGTAAATGCTCAGTGGATCACCCATCAGCCAACGCGCCTAACTCATCCTCGACAGATTCTTGAGCCCCCGATGTTACGGGGCAGACAACTGAAAGTGAACAACCCAAACGGGTCAGGTGAATACATACAGAAGGGGGGCTCCTAGTATATGTATGTGTGTATATACTGGATATACATTTATCTATTTATTTTTTATATTATTATATATGTTTTCACAAGGTGAATGGTGACCACCAAATGGATCCGCCTGAAAAGCTTATCACTGTAGTTCTACTGGAGTGGTGGATTGAATAAATATACAACAAATCAACAACTGATTGCCTTCCCACGAATATTTGGATATTCCCCCAAATCTATAAATGTATCCCTCAAATCCGCCATCCGTGCCATTCTGGAGAGCTTTCGCATCCCAGCCTCAAAGACCGCGAAGAGGCCGCAGGGCGATACCAGACCCTCAGGGAGAGTCGTTTTCATGGCCTGCGCAAGGGTCAGGGTCATCTGCGGTCCGCCCAAACTCCCAACGTCGAAGGGACGGGAAGGTGCCGCATGGAACCCCCGTCGCTTGTACCAGTTTTTGCGATCCCCCTTGTTTTGGAGGGGAGGGGAGTTTGAAGTAGTTTGAACTGAAAAAAAAGCGTCTCCGAACGGTCCTGCTGTACAGGTGGGGGAAATTTCAAGTAGTTTGAACTGAAAACAAAAATGCGTCTCTGAAGGGTCCTGCTGTACGGTATGCGTGGGGTACGCATACGTGCGGAATGTTTCCAGATGGGGGAGAGCGGATGATGATGGTTAGGTAGCAGGCCTTTCTCTAGTTAGTGATCATTGATGATAATCATCATTGTTTACTTACCGACTGCTACAGGTCAGTTCGGACAGACCCAGAACTAACCGCTGGGTCTGTCCGACCAGCCTGTCCTCAGAAACCATGGAGACGTCGATTGCTTCAAACCCGGACAGTGAACCGAACGGCCCGGCTGGTGCTGGCATGGCCGGGCGGGCCAGCGCCCTCGCTTCGGCCCGAATTCCCGCGGTTCTGGCTCGGCTGCCTTCGCCACTGCCAGGAAGTTCGGAATGAGCACCTCAGGTCTGGCACGGTCCCTACGGCCTGATGGGGGGTGTCATCCTGTGGCCTTGCCTTGCGAAAGAGTGGAGGACCAAATGCCTCACCAGATGATCTAACATACTACCCAAAACACCAAAAAACATCTCCTCCAGTCTGCTTTCTCGCGCGGAAACGATCCTTGGTCTTGAAGCGTCCTCACCAGCTCCCCGCTCGGTGACTCACCTCTACATCCTCAGGTTTCCCCACCTCGGACGCCGACTTGATCCCGATGGCTTCCACTGACTCCTCTTGAATGTTAGCAAGTAGATCGTACACGGCCGATCACCTGGTTTGCCGAAAGTACGGCCGATTTTCCTGGTCCCATCCTGGTCGCAGTACCCTTGCCTTGCTTTGAAGATTTTGCTCAAGTCTTCACTCTAGTGCGGATGGGGAGTCTGATGTAATAATATTGTATAAATCCTTCTTTTCTCACTTTCACTCTAAGCTGCCCATGCCTCTTATTGAGACAGCAAAGCTTTGCACCGGCTGATGGCCACAAGGCAAATGTCGACAATGCCCTTTCCGACATTCCAACAAAGGAGGGAATGGCACACCAGCAGCAACGTCTCAAGGCCAGAAATCAAAACAGCTTGCATTGTCAAGGCTGCTCTCTTCCAAACCTAGGGATCTGCGCTGCAAGCAACTTGGCTCACCTCATGCAAAACAGCTTGCATTATTCAAAGTTTCGATCAACGCTTTAGCACCCGGATTCAGGGAATGTTGCATAACTTGTGCTGCCACTTCTTGAAGGTAAAATTCTAAGGTTTTCACCCTATTCCACCGTCCACGCCAGCAAATTAGAGGAATATTTTCGGTCTGAAGATACAAACAAGTCGCTCCTGACCCGCGAAGACTCCCAGGGGTAACGCCTTTGTGCACCTGCTTGCAAGGCACCCCTAACACAGTCATGACCGCGTTCCACTGATTCCTATACATGCATGCTGATTGAACCACCAAAAAGTCGTTCTTTTAGGCCAGCCGAACCAAACATGGCATCAACGAAGGAAATGGTTTCAGGATCGGAGATCTTCACATGCTGTTGCCTGGCGAATCTGAACGTTTTCGGGTTTTTCAAGTGGACATACAAAACCTCGGTTGAGAAAAATGTATCTCGAGGCAGCATCAAATCACAACGTTCCAAAAAGATAAATTCGGATGGGTGAAGCATTCCAGCAAATGCGATCATTGTGACCGCAGCCCACCTGTTCCAGTTCCATAGCATTGCGCCGCAAAGAGCGGCCCTGAAAATGGGCAAAGACAAAACTGGTCGGCATTCGCCGGGTTCAGCAACTTGCCACTTCTTGTCTATTTGCCAAGCGGGCCCCATAAATGGCCGATGCTGCGGGAAACAATCTTGGATTGCAGTTATTGCGTAAACATACATGTATCGCGGATAGCCCTTCCGATACACATGCACGCCGTAGGCTCTGAGGGCTAAACTGCAAGTCTGATGCTCATGCATCAAAAGATCAAAGTCAATCTGCAACTCGGCTGTGGTCCACTCACGAAAGGAGTGCAAGCATTTCTTCATGCGCTGCGATGTCGCTTTTGCGAAGCCGATTTCCATGTCAAGTTCACCTCTGCTTCGCCTTTGTTTGTCAGCAAACACTGGGCCTGGATTTCGCTCAACGTCACCAGAGATCAGCAGTAACAGACGGATCCACCGCCCAATCACTTTGGGATATGCTGAAGCTTGGCAAATCATGTCAAAAACTCTAAAATCTCCACGCTCCAACGCAATAAGCCAGGCTGGCTTGCTTTTTGTTGGCCCCTCTACCTCACGTTCACGAGACGGTGCGTCGGCTCGGTTTTTGGCTGAATAAACGTGAAGGGTCCCCGGGTAAAGATTTGAACCTATAAGATACGGGATGGTCTTTTAAGAACCCTTGAAATCCTTTGAAGCGGCTCCGATCGTAACTCTACTGTCTAGTAAACCTATTACCCGATGATTGAACAAAGCTTTGGCACAATGCTTTATCCAAGACAAGTAGACCTGACTTTCAAGAACGTTGATATGGTTGCCCTTCCTAAACTTGTATTTAAACAATGTAGAAAATTCAAAGGAATCAGCAATTTCACCAATCCACTCAGGGTCCTCGAACCAGGCTCGCGACTCCACTGCTGACTCGGACGAGTTCAGGGGTTCAAAAGCTGGCTCTAAAACGCCCGGAATTTCAAGGCCAACCCTTTTAAACGAAAGCAGGCGCGCACTAAGAGGCATGATTGATGGACCTTCTTTCTTACAGCTGCTACTTCCTTGGGCCATGCGTGTCATGAGACTAGCTGGATATTGGGCTGAGTAACTGGACACAGCTTCTCCAACCATAGGCAGGCGTCCGTACACAGCAACTGCACTTGGCTCGCATCGTTGATTGAACTGCTCAATGGAGTTCCTGGTGAACGAACCCTTGATGGTAAAATGTTTGAATTTCCAACGACACTTGCAAGGCCCTGCAACAACCAACTTTTGTTATGGAGCCACTGGGATGGTTTATTGAACGCTGAAGCGAAGTTACAAAAAGCCATCCTAGTTACAACACACCCGCGCTGAACAAGAACCCTGAAAAGATGCATGCTGAACATCACAGACGATCCTGGCTGTTCGCTACTGAAGCAGGCTCCAGCGCTAACAGCAACAAGGCCCAACATGGCCATTCACGTTAAAGCCTGAAGGGTGTTGGGTATTGCAGAGACGGGAGCGTCTCAGCGTGCCAAAGGTCAGGCAAGGTGGTCCAGCATGAAACTCTCTGACTACCCTACGGTATGCCAAAGCCATGACTTCATGCAAAATGCTCTTGTCTGATAAGTCTTTGAAAAACAGACGGTTTTGGTTCTGCTGATAGCCTGGATGCACTAAAAGTCCTTGCTGCTGGTGAGCAAGGGACCATCCTCCTGAGCCACGGAATATCTCCACACAATCATAGAGCACTCCCTCTTCAAGGCCCGGTGGAATCTTATGCTTTGGCACTTCAACATGAGTATTTACAAGGTTATCGAGTTCGGGGCTATGAGCATTCTCTATCCCATGTTCGGCAAGGATAGCTCCGGCTGGTCCTAGCAGATTAGTATGATACCCACGCTGTTCGGCGTGTCGCCACAGTTCTGAGATCAGGGGCTCAGAGGTTTTTGCTGAAACTATCGCTCCACCGTATGGTGAAGCATCCAGTGAGAACAGCTTTTCACAAAAACTCACCCTTAAGTCCGCTTGTGCGCACGGCCCCAGCAAACAAAGGGATATAAGTTCGTGACGTGAATGAGACGACAGGCAGAAAACTTTGGTTGAGGGATAGTTCAACCCTTCTTTGAACAAGGCATCAATGAGCGCTAGTAGAGGTCGCCTGAACAAAACCACATGAACCCAACAACCCAAAATGGAGCTGAGAATCTGTCTCGTACAAGTACCCAATTTCGCAATGAGAGAAGTCATCCAAACAAGCAACAAAACATGAGACCGCGGTGCGCTGACACGGCCCTTTATACCATCGAAGTCTGCCCCCAAAATGGTTCCCCGGGTCTCATCTCTACGGGCTTTACCTGGAGGGGAAACTAGACCCACCTTCTTATAGGGTTTTTGCGCTGCATCAAAAACCCGGCTGTCCCGTAAACTTGGCCTTTTCGGAAGATATTTCAAGGGTAGCCGCTGGACACCGATATGATCATCAATAGCAAAAAGTTCAACGAAATCACCTCTTGGGATGGGCTTGCAATATTCTAAAGTCCGACTCCAGCATACTGCCGCCTTCCAACTGCAAAAGGGCATGATGGCTCCCCTGAGCTATCTCCACTGCGTGCCCATCGCCCATGGCAAGGGTTGCCAAGGCTGGGTAGTAGGCCCTCAACCGCAGGATCAAAACAAGACAAACTTCTGACTTCGGAGGGGAAAACCTTGGTACCGATGCAATTCCGCTTAGCACGGGCCCTTGGCACCTTGAAAGTGTAATAGAAATCTGACAAGTCGTCTGCGGAAAATCGAAAGGCCTCACCCGCCTTCAGAGTGAGAAGAGCTAGTAAAGCGCCGGGGGCTAACTTTTTGGTGTAAGCACTATATGCCATCATCCTGGAGTTCAACACAGTTGGATTGATAATGAGTCGGTCATATTCAGAATCCTTTGGCACGGCGAAAAACCCAACAGTTTCATGGCGGTCAACTTCTTTACAAGGAAACAAGGCTAAAGAACCATGGGCATCCCAGATTTTCAGAAGTTTCAACAACTCAGGACGAGAACATTGAACACGGGCCCTACCCCTATCTGGCCAGCTTGATTCTGGCATCCTCAAAGTGTTGGGATCGTTGAACACGGATTTCACAATGGGATCTAAGAGATAAGGCCGGGGATCGAAAGATGGGGGATGCTTCCATTTGATTCTTGACGCAATTACCTGCTTGTGTCCTAGGTCTTTAACCGCTATTTCGGGGGGACTGTAGGTACATCGGGAATGTTCATCTTGATGTACTTCGTGATTATTGAAATGCGGAGTCTCAAAAGATGCGTACGAATCGAAACCTAATTTGATGTCATGCAGCAATGCACTGAGGTCCACATCCGCGTGCTGCGGCAGTTCTGCAGCGACTTTCCCAAAGCCGCGAATTTTTCACCGAACCGTCCTAAGTCCGCTGGACTAAAGGCTGGCACGTCGCAAAAGTGTGAAATGTGCTCTTGCAAGGTCTCTAGCGCTTTATATTGGGAATCGGTCCAAGGCTCGCCCGCCTGGGCCTCTGCTGGTGGCCGGTCTGGGTATCCTAAGGTTATCCAATTCAAAAAGCACACAACTCTTTGCAACAACAAAAACTGAGCATACAGCTTTCTCCTACAACGGCGTTGTCTGGGTCCCGGTGACTGGTTGCTAGTCCATCTCCACAGGGGTGGTGGGACTGGCCACAAAGGCTTGCTATTGGTCGGCAAGCCAACAGTGCGTGAGAGCCAAGCTGGCACTAAAGATTTCGATCTAAACGTGTTGTAGCTGCAGGGGACTTGCTCAACCTGTTGCAACGCTTCAACCAAAATCATGAGAGGCTCAAAAGTGTCAGCATTGGGTTTGAACGGAACATTGCAATTAAAACAATCGAAAGGGGTCCTAAGGCTCTTTTTGCAATCAACAGAAAAACTACATTGCCCCAGAGAGCTCTGTGCGGTGTCCCCCGGCTTTCGGTTCATGCAGTGGAGCTGCCCGAGACCGCTTCGGATCCCTTTGCTTGAACTTCGGCTTCTGAGACCGATCTTCTGCGTCTGCTTCGGCACTGGGGAGATTCTGCGACTTTCGGACACCGAGCTGCCGCAGTCTGGTGTCGAACATGTCCACGTCCTTCAAATAGCTCAGATTGGCAGCAATCCAGGTCGGAGGGGCCAACTTTGCAAAAGGAGTCAACGTTGACCTCTTTTTGTTCAGAGCCAGTTGCTGGAAATTGGGTTCTGGTAGGCCCGTCATCAACCAAGCCAACCCCGTCCTGCCTGAATCCAGACATGACTGTTCGACGAACATCATCATCCTTCCACAGCCGATCTCCCAGCCCCACGCTAGCATATACCCTGGCGGAGCAAAGCAGGTTCCTCTCGACCCTGTGGGATGCCCAATTCTGTTCGGGCATTCATCTTCACCTGATCCACCAGTTTGCGATCGTCTTGCAGCTGGCGAAGGAACATCTCCCTCGCGGCATAACCTTTGACAGAGACGCCGCTTGAGGAGCTGGCGGCTCCGTTGTCCGAGCCGCTTAGCATAGCTGCTATTGGGTCTGCCTGAGATTTCGGAACTAAAGCTTTCACTAAGTCCTGGGTTTGTCTCATCTGCAGAACCATCAATCGCTGAAGAGGATCCGAGCTCTGTGCCAACTGGGCCAAAATCTGCTGTTCCAAAACTTGTGTTTCGGTGTCTAAGTCGATCACACCTCTGTCGGCTTCTGCCATCAAAGCTTCTTCCATGTGGTTCCTGGAGCGGTCGACCTGTGGAAGGGCCGATTCGGCTCGCCCAGGACGGCGAGGTGCCGGGCCCACTGCTTTGTGCAGTCGATCGAGCTCTGCTTCTGTGAGCTGCTTTCGTTTTGCAGACTGGTCGAACAGAGTAGACTGATGACCTCGATCGTGGGCCGCGGCTGGTCCTTTGCCAGCCTGAACTTTCACTAGGCCCCTAGGCCTTCCAACATACCAATTCGATCCTTCAAGGCAGAGATCTGGTCCTCGGCATCTGGATCTACTGGGTTGCTGGGGCTTCCGACTTCGGAGACACCATCGGGCGGCACATCCTCGACCTCGCCTTCTGCAGCTGAAAGGTACTCGTTGGCAGTATCTACATCCAGCATGCTCATAACCCAATGTTCCGCAACATCCAAAGCTGATTCCAGAATAGGTCTTCCGACGGCTGTCTCGAAGCGGAAACTGGTCAAAGGCAAGTTGCTGCGACCAAACTTTCGAAACAGTGGCAGATACGACCAGGGCAAATCTGCTATTAGGACTTCGGCATCGCCCTGAAACCGACCTCTGGCAGTTTCGAACGAAACGTTCACTGTGGAAACGACAGCCACTTCCTCTCCCGGGCCTACGGCATATGCATGAAACACATCCTTGATCTCCTGGCCGGATGGCAGCATGACCATGAAACCAATTGTCCGAGCTCGCAGCATAAACACTTGGCTTCGCCATGTCGCACTACCGGTGGCTGAATCTGTCAAAACTGCAGCTGATAAGCGCTCACGCGCACCACCAGCTATGGCTTGAATCACAATCTCTGCAGTGAGGGAGCTGTTCACAGCTCCACTGGCCATCCCTTCCTAGATGCTTTACGCTCAATTGGAGATGAGCGATGCACACTGCAGGGAGGATTTGATTCCTGCCCGAGTCTAGTTGACTCACCGACTAAGTTGCGAAGTGAGCGGCTTGACTTTGACCAAAAACCTTTGGGCTTGTCAGGGCAATACAAGCGAATAGGGAAACAGCACCGCAGTCCCAAAATGTCCGGATCGTCTGTCCTGAACTTCCCAGATTCTAGGCACCGGCGAGCTCGAAAACCAGCTCGCGCAGCAGCACGGGTGCACCAGCCGTTCACGGTGCTCAGAGTACTCCGAAACACACGCAAGTGATCAATGCAGCTGAAGTCTAAAGCTTTCACAGCTTCAGGGGACTTTGCAGCAAGACCTTGAGTTGGTGGGTTTGACGCCACCTCCCAGCCCGCCACGATTCGCCGCTCAGCGGCTTCCAGCCTCACGCGCAGGTCGCGAACCTGCCGCTCGATTTCCAGCAAAGAAGCGCGCGATGCAGCAATCTCCGTGCTCACGCACGGTATTCACCGAACCTCCGTTGCAGGCCGGTGGCTGTCTGGGCCACCAAGGGAGCAGGATGCAGCGCTTGGAACACCACCCCAAGCAACTGGACAGCTAAATGTCTACACCACCGAGATGCAACAAGGATCCCAATGCAGATTCCAACGAAACAGCCGCAGGCGCAGGAAATCCAAATGGCAAGGATGATGAAGCCCCAAGGACAGGTGCCCGATGGAGCGGAAAAGAATCGAAACTCCCTAAGGGTTTCAAGGAAAAGGGCGCTACTCCACATCAATTGAACCCAAAAGCTTGAGTCACATCGTTCCCATTCGCTCGAAGGATTTATATAATATTATTACATCAGACTCCCCATCCGCACTAGAGTGAAGACTTGAGCAAAATCTTCAAAGCAAGGCAAGGGTTATACATAAGTCTCTTCAAGCTATCCAAACACTATTTATGGCTCCCAGTGTCACGCCCCCAAGTGTCACATAGTGTCACGCTGGTGAGCGAAAGAGAACCAGCTCAAACTTGGAAGGTTCTGAACGGAACCAGTTCTGAACTCTCTCCTCTTCGCCCAGGCACATGTCGTGCATTGGCCTTCTTTTGGTTCTCGCTGTCACCTGAGGTGAAGGCACGACATCTGAGGTGAACGTGCGGGATGACTTCGGCGAAAGTGAGCACTGTAAGGGTGGAGAGAAGGTCAGGGAGTTGTGGTATGTATGGCATACCCATCCCAAAGAACCCCCACTTGGCACACTGTAGTAAAGCAGCCAGGGTACAGATGCTGGACTTCGGGATGCGGGTTTCAATCTGAAAGTTGATGTGATCATTGGCACGAAGTGAAAGGGCAAAAGAATCGATGAATCATGTGGTGGCAGAATTCACCCTCGAACTTGCGCCAGACTCCTACAAAAGCAGCTGACTTGTGGAAAGGGGAGGCTTTTAGGTCTTCAACTCTATAGCGACGGACAAAGACTTAGAACATAGCTTTTTTTCCAAACGACGGAACTCATGACTTAGAACAAAAAAAACGGACATGTGGTTAGAACAAAAAACCTACACACTAAGAACATATCCAACCAGCACCGGTTAGAACATAGCCACCTATCACTTAGAACACACAAAGATAGGGTTTAAATAAGTTTAGTGTTGCCTCAATGATAATAGCTCCTTGTGACGAGCCTGCGCTTAGAACATACCAAAGTCGAGTGCCATTGAGTATGTGACATTGAGTATGTGTGTATGACGTGTGTATGCATCATCGGAGTAGCGTGTTCAAAGCCGAGAGCTGTGAACCAGCAGCAGGGCACACATGCTTAGAACATCCGATCACACTCCAAGTAGAAACATGATGCTTGCAATCCACACATGTTCTAAGTGCGTGGTTCTAAGTGTGTGTTTTTTTGTCCATGTTCTAAGTGTATGTTCTTACCTCTTGTTCTTAGTCTGATGCTTAGAACAAGCCAAAAAAAAAAAATCCAAATGATGTTCTAAGTGGTTGTCTAGCACTATACAGCGGTTTCAGAGGAGATGGCACAAACCACAACTGCAAAAATGGAGGTCCCACCACCAAACTTGGGGATGGTGCCATCTACTCTGTCTCCAACTCTAACTAAAACACATCGCCTGGACTTGCCAGAGCCCTTTCCGACAACACGTACAAGCTCCAAGGCGCGTGTCGTATAGCCCGCGGAATACACGTGCAGCTGAGCCATGGCACGTGACCGTCGTGACCGTCGACCACGAAAAGCGCCAGAAGTTTTGGACTGGTGAAGAGTGTGTGACTGTTCCGGGAAAGTTGGGTGTGAAGAGACGTTGCAAAATATCCCAGGCCTCAGGAGCTCACTCCCGGCCCCGGAGGAAAGATCGGGCCCACCTTCTTCATCTTGGAGCCCAACAGGAACAAAGGGCCGTTCTCAAAACATCTCCTCACCGTGATGTTCCTGCAGCAGATCTTAGAGCCCGAAGAAGTTGCTGAGCTCCATAGTTTAAAAGCCCACAAAGAAGGAACCAACTCAAACCATGTTCATGATTTCCCTGTCCATCACCATTCTTCCACCTGGCCCTGCGACAAACGAGGTCAGGCTCTGTGAAAACATGGGAGAAGATAGATCTGTCAATGTGATCCATCTGGAAAGCAATCGAAAAATAATGGTCTTTCTTAGGCTGAAGCTCCTCAGCAAATGTCCTTGAGTAACGTTCAGCGGAAACGGCGTGTGCTCCGGCGCGTGCTCGTGCTCTGCCCGAAACGGGGAACACCCCATTGGTCTCCGTGAGCTGATCCTTTTTTGGCCTCTGGCCTTCCGGACAGTCCTTTCAACAAAAAGCCTGGAAGCGAAAAAAAGGGCGATCCCAGGCCTCAAAGCCTGCTTCAGGTCGCTGAACGGATGATGAGCGATGTGACCGGCTTCTGAAAATGCTGTGATCTGTCGGTACCGTCGTGTCGCTACCGTCGCGGCGACTCAGCGATGAGTAGCCCCTCAAGACCATTTCCCATCGATTCTCATGCTCGGAAAGAGCGGCACCATTCCTCAAAGCATCATGTTTTTTTTCCAGTAGGGCTGATGCTTGAGAATGAAGAAAGCTGACTCGTTCTCTTATATAACCCCTATTCATCATGATATCCATCTCAGCTGCGGTTGAACTTCGGAAAGTCCATTTCAGGTGGCAGCATGTGGGGTGGAAACAGCTTCTCACTTTGAAGTTGACCACGAAACATCATGAAACAGCTCAAACGCATTGAAACCCCAAGCAGGATCCGAGGTCTCACCGTCTCAGGGATTCTTGAAAAACAGGCGTCGAGGAACTCGCAAGCTCGAAGACCCTTCGTCAGCTTCTTCCCACCCACGTCATCCACATTCTACATTCCCTAATCATCATAGGACCCTCCTATGGAGGGTTTGGATCCTGCCTAGCTGGGATTTGGACCCTCAAAACCGTCACCTTTGAGGGTCCTTGATTTTTAGGGCTAGGTACCCAGGTACCTCCTAATGTCGTACGATCCAAGGGATCCACGTCGACTTCATCAGCGAAGAGGTCTGAAAAGACACCATGCGCTCGCTTTTGGACGCCTGGAGACCAAGCTTCCCGTCGGTGAAAAGCTTCCCGAAGAGATTGGGTCACTTCAGAAGATTTCCCCGTCGCAAAATGCCGGGCTATATAGGCAGGGCAACATCTTTTGGGGACTTGTTCTGGGAATTGATTCTTGGCACCTCACTACCGCAGCACCTTGGGTGGTGAGCAGTCTCATTTCTGTGAGTTGTGAGATTGGACATGTAGCCAGCAGATTTCTGAACATCATGAACACTCAAAAGTTGTTGGACCAAGTTGTTGATCTCCTTCGTCGGACCAAAAGAACATCAACCCTTCCGACCCACCATGTTCAAGAAACGCATGTTCCTGAAACCTCTCCAATGCTCCAATGCTCGATCCAGCTCCACATCTGAAGCTCCAGCAGTAATTGGGCCCTTCTTTGGCCGTGCAATCCATCAACTCCACCGAAAGGACTCCACCCAAGCCCAGCGTAGCCCAGCGTCTACGTGCGTGAGACCAATCGATCTGGCGACAAGCTTCAAGGCTGAGAAACCCATTGGAGTTCAGCAAAGTTCGGTGCCATTCAGTGCGTTTCCGAACCCAGAATCATCTACTTGCTTGGAGAAACATTGCTGAGTCCCTTGGTTCAAAACCTTTTCTTAAGAAGTCCGGTTCTTCCAGGCCGTTTCCGATAAAAAAAGACAGACGTGTCGATCCCAAGTCATGGATCGGTGAATGACCGCCTATCAGACGTGTCGATCCACTTCAAACCCGAACCAATTCTCAGGTCCGACAGGTGGCCACCGGGAACGGTCCAACGTTGCACGCCATCGACCAGCAATTCTCGTCTCCACGTCGGTCGAAACGCGAAGTCCGAAGGAACCGAAAAACATTGGATGCGCCGTCCGAAAAGAAACGGCCTCATTGGGGGAAGCCCACCAATGAGGCGCAATGAACACTTCGAGCACCTACATGAAGATGTTCGACCTATACTGGGAGGGGGGCTCTTAACTCAATGGTGCACCCACGTCACAAGGTGCAGCCGCCTGGCAGGAGCTCCGTGTACACGCAACACCTGTCTCCATGTGTCGCACGGTCTGTGCGACCTTGCATGGGTGTCAGGCTGTCAGATTTTCGGCCGTGCGACCGAGATCCGCTCTCGAAACGTGAGCTGCACGCGACCCGATCGTGCGGCGGTGGATTCCAGAGGTGTCCACCATCGCCACACAGCGGTGGCGTCTTCGGTGGCGATGTGGGGGGGACACATGAGGAAAGCAAGCGTCTTAGAAGGTTGGATGCAACCCCTTCAAGGCTTTTAGTAACTGTGTGACGAAAGGTGGCTCGCCACGAACCCTAAACCCAGCTTGGCCGAAGAGAAATCAAGAGACAGGAAGAAACCAATATCCCTACGGCCCTACGGCGTCCTTCAGTTCACCACCTCGGATCAGCCCGCGCGAGCGTCTACACGCGGGAAAAAGAGCCACGGATCTGCCACGCGCGCTTCGCCGGATCCACCAAGCGAGGGACATCAGCTCAGCCCCGAAATCAGCGTGTGGAGCGAGTGAGGTTGGTTGGGATCGTCCGTTCCGTTCCGAATGCCATGGCATCTCACCACCGAAGGGCAAGCCGCACAGCGGAAGTAGAATATAATTTAATATACATCTATAGAAACGTAGCATAGTAGCAACCAGTTCTTTCCATTTGTCCTGTTTCAGCTGGGTGACACATGGTCGTTTAGGGGAGTGCGTTCCCTAAGCTAAGCACCTGAAGGGGTATTCAGCCAGAAAAGCATGCGATAAGGGCAGAAACATGGTCTCATAGGAATCTGGCACATAGCAGCCCAGTAGTAGCTTTGCACAAAAATGCTAGCCTTCAATAGGATGCAATCCATAGTCATACAAACATATACAAATTCCATCAATGAATCAATTATTTATAATGTAGACATATGTGATCAATGATCTTCTATTCTTCATCCAGCTTTGAAACTTGGACTACTGGAAACCATCCCTGTAGCTAAGAAAGACGACCCACCTTGCTTCGCTGATGGTCCACACGTTCCACGCTGATGGTCTACGGATGGATCGTTCCACGCCTTCCACGCGTTCGCTGACGTCACTCGCACTTCACGCCCGGCGGGCCACTGCAGCACTTGAAGGGATCCTAGCGGCGGCGAAAAGCTTTTCGGACACGGCAGAGGCAGAGTGATCACCGTCGAAACGCGTGTCCAAGACATGTTCTACGTGATCTACCGACCTTCGATCTAATTGGAGGTCATTTTTTTGACCCAAGCCAGCATGGAAAGCTGTGCCGGTGAGGAAAACCATCTGGAAAAGTGGCCACTATGTCACTATGGGACGCTTCCATGTTTGGATGGAGAGTGTGGTAGGAGCTTGAAGTGATCTCGTGGGACAGAATTGTTCACTGTGGGAGGTAGGCTTCTGAGAGGTATGCTTCGGTGGTGCGTTTCGTCCGAACATCCCACCGGAACACATTTGACTCTGGGCACGTTGAAATGAAATGAACCCATCTCTGGTAATTGCCAAGGTTTTGGCTGTTGGGGTAACACTCCCAAGCTCTTTAGTCGTCGTCATCACCATCATCATCATATCTTCTCGGATCGATCAACATTTAAAATAACAAAAACAAACAGGGTCTCCTCGTCCAATCCCCTCAAGTCTCGCCCATTGGGATATCAAAAAACGTCACCTGCGGGACTCATGCCGCGAACCTGAGGTGAGTCCTGCAAAGCCCCCGATCCCAACATCCTGTCCCGATGGAAGGAACGCAGCACGCCCCTCATCTCCTCTTCAGGAGTACTTGCTGTTCATCTGCATGTGCTTCAGAATATTTAGACTCCCAAGATAGTTTACCACATTAAATAATATTAAATAGGGATCTACCTACCAAGCCCACGTCGTCCTTTTCGACTCTTCCTGCCACCGAAGAAGACCGCGAGCCGGTTTCACCTCCACTCACCGAAGACCTTCCGATCCTCACGCAGTCAACGCAGTCAACGCAGTCAACGCAGTCAACGCGGTCAACGCGGTCAACGCGGTCAACGCGGTCAACGCGTCCACGCGCCTTCATGGCAGAGAAAATGTTCTTCACCAGTCCACCCTTGGATCTTTTCCGCTCCTCAGCTTGCAACCCGAACGAAAAACCTCTCCAGCTTATCGAGCTCAAATTGAGCGGACCTCGCTGAGAGAGGAGATCTGAGCGAGCGAGCGAGTTCGGCTCCAAGCGAGTCATAGTCGTAGAGTCGGGTCGATCTATCCTTCATGTAGATTGTTGAGTAAAACCTCCCCATGTTGATGGTAAAACCTCTTAACCTCTTCATTTTGAGGGGTTGAACATGGTTGAACTACGTATCATCAACAGTCTAGATCCTTTCCTCATATCGATCTCTCCTTTTTCAAAACGATCTCCCTCGATCTCTCACGCCGCAATGCCGTTGGGTTCCCCCCAGGATGGAAGGAGGAGCCGTTGGATGGAGTAAGAAATGCAGGGGGTGACATGCATACTTCTAAAGGCCTATATATACACATATACGCCAGCAGTCACAAACGGGTGCGATCCATGGAGGTTAGGGGTGCCTTATGATCCACTCACTTAGGGACTAAACACCACCCCGTCTTGTGACTCCTGGCAGAATTTTGTATGTCATGTATTTTCATGTATGCTGGAGTTTCTAGTGGTTGGACTGAGGGATGAACAGCACTTTATCCTGAATCTTTGCATCTCCCAATGTCGATGGGGAGGCCAGTGAGGGGCTGCAAGCAGCTCGCGTTGATCGACAGCTTTGCGGCCTTTCATGTTCGGGTAGATACACTGCACTGTGCAACTGCTGTCGACCCATATTTGAGGGCATTGTAGACAATGGTGTATATCCAACACGAAGAGGCTTTGGCTTGTGCCTCTGTACTGAACCAAGGGAGTATACAAACTGACCTGCAACGTCAGCGAGACGATCTTCCAGCAGAAAAGCTCGTGGTCATTTCTCTTGATGAAGCCCCTGATGGGATCAGTTTCACCATGGAGCCCTGACTCCCGAGTCGTTTCCCAGGAGACCACCCTGTGCCTTTTTCGTGGGGAAAGGTGGTTTCGCCACAAAAAGGTGCCTTTTTCGTGTTTGTCCCCGCTCTTCCTGGATGACACCCGCCGAGACATGCTCGCCACGGACCCCAACGGACTGGAGGTGCCCCCGGCCGCTGGACGCTTCCGAGTGGCCGTGGACTCCGGAAGAAAGCGATCGGAAGACCTGCCATCGCGGGCGCTTTCGTGTCGCGTTCGATCGACCGAAGCCTGGTGTCGCGTTTGGAACGCCCCAAGAAGGACCACGTGTTTCGACTCCACACGCGACACCATGAGGCGAAAGTGGCAAGTGGTCAGAACGAAACTATATACTACACCAGGCCAGGAGCTACTAGTAGCGTCCGATCGCTCCTAGTAGCGTTCTATCTAAAAATGTGTTGCCAAAGTGAAGTCTTTCCTCCAAAAGGCGCCGGCTCCCCGGAAACCCTCGACCTGAGCCCGGTAAGGCGTTCGAAGAGCTCCTGGGTGACCCGCTTCTCCGAGTTCCAGATCGCCGCCCGGAACATGTACTTCCTGAGCTCACCAGGTCTTCGTGGTGAACAGGTGGTGGTGTGCGAATCGGTTTGTTGGGGGGTGGGTCTTGGGAAAACCAAGAATGATAGACTGCAGACTGGCGAGTGGGGAAAACCCCCTAGAGTTTTGGGCATGGCTACTTTTGTCAGGGATTCCAGTAGATTGCCCAGCGATACTTGGTTCTGCCTGAACGTGTCACACTCGGATTGGTCCAACAATTTGGTGTTCATCTACCAGATTCCTCAAAAAAACACCTAGCTTGCAGGCAGTCCCTCGTGATTCCTGAAAATTCCCAAGGTTGAGGGTGGAACGCATAGATCTGGACGCCTCCCCAGGAAGCCATACATTGCAAGCGGCCCGCCGAGAATACTTTCTCTTGTCGCAATAGCCAAGATCGGCTCTAAACAATCCCCCTGCTACTTACTCAGAAGAAGCTCAACTGACTGAAATCTTTGTGTCTCAGTTTTGACTCTCTTGCAACTCAGCTACATAGTGCCGCTGTATCTTAGCACTTAAAGCTCCAAACCCCCGGCTCCAAACGCCGCAGGGGCTCTTCCTGGAATTCAGATGACGGCTCTCTGCCTTGCCATCACGACCTCGGTAGCTCGGTTGATCGGTGATGACAGCCTTGTTGACCGATCCTTTGATGACAGCCAGATCCGGATCTGAACTACATCATGTGGTGGAGCACGCAGAATGCGGGATCTCATCTTGGTATGAAAAGGGCCATGATGTTCAAGGTAGTTGGCAGAGAGAGAGAGAGAGGAGGGCGCATATGACCCCTTTCCAATATATAGGCTATAGGCTATATATATATAGGCATTAGTTACTATAGACATCTATAGACTACAGTATATATAGCAGATAAAAGTGGGAATGCATGTGGATGCATGTGGAGTGCTCCTCAAATGCAACTCTCAAATACGGCAACTCTCGAGTGTGTTGCTCTGAGAAACAAGGGACAAGATCAACCGGTCCCTCCCACTGTTCATCCCTTCGAGGATGTTTCTTCATCGAATGCCAAACTCTGGACTAATAAAACTCGCCCAGATGCCTGGATTGTAAAACCTCTTAAATGTCAAGAGTCTACAGACTACACCACTCACACACAAAAAAGAAACGTCACATGGAAGTGGACCAAATGTCATCCTGTTGGAAGACGACTTCGCCCTGGGCACGAAAAGAAAAGGGGGGGTGAACTCATGACAGCTGTGTTGGTGTGGTGAACTCGCGCCCACGCACGCTTGCCCTTACGGACTGGCGCCGCGCCGCCGCCCAACAGCCACCACAACGTCTTTCGGCCCAAGTGGCCGGCTTCCGCTGGCCTCGGTCGTTCGTGGAGGTCGACAGGAGTTGGGGGACGAGGTTCTCGGACGAACTCCCGTCCAAAACACATGGATCATATTCTAGTTATATACAGTACATCCCAGCAGAATCAAAGCTCAGTGAGTCTGGTTTCGCCAAGCTAAAGTATGTGGGCTCGTTCTGTTGAAGAGGTAGGTTTGGGGCTAGCAGTTTGGATTGTTGAACCTACAAGTGACATAGCAATTTGGCACGGGAACAATCACTGGCTGAAAACTGTAGGTCTCCAACATCATCAGCATTTTGCGGGCCGGTTTGTTCTGAAGAAAATACCTGCTGGATGCCTAATACCATGAAAGCCCAGCATCGAACCGTACAAAACCCCTGCACCTGAAGTCGTGAACCTCCACTACTGGACTGGACTTGTTGCTATCACCTTCTTCAAGCATTGATCAAAAAGGCCGGATGAAGAGCCAAGCTTCCCAGATCTGTCGGCCGAGGCACGTGAGGCAGTAGAGGACGGCGTACACGGGCGGCTGACCGATGAGGGGCTCGAAGTCGAAAGGCGTCACCAGCGGAATACCGCGCAACTTCCTGCGTGGGAACCCACGCAGGGGAGAATGGAGAACGGAGATGGAGATCTGCGAGGGGTGCGAGGGGAGATGAAGTTTGGAGTTCGTGGTTTTTTTTGCAGAGGCGCCCCGAAAAAGGAATGCACACCACAGTGGGTGGATGGATGTGGCTTGAATTTGCAAAACCCTTGTATTGAGGTGCTGTACGTATGGTGCTTTTCTCCGAGGTCTTGTTGATGTACCCTCATGCCTCGTTCTCCCCCTCTAAACTCATCGAGTTGAGAATATGCTTTGAGCTCTTGACGGAGATGCTCCTGACCGCTGTGGCCTCCTTTCCTGCAGGTTCTTTAAAAAGGACCTCTTGTCCTGGACACATGACCCGCAGCCAATGAGCAAAAGCGGGTGTTGGGACATCTGTCGCAGACCGGTTGCTTGGTGCAGAACACCTGCCACGGATCGGGCCACTGCAAGTCCGTCTCTCAGGATCCGCCCGGTTGGACTTCGCTTCTTGCAAGCGAGGAGCCAGCTCATCCTTAGGGCCGAAGCATGCCGAAGCAACAGTCCCTGCATGTAGAGTCATGCTGCACAGCAACGCAATTTCAAGGGGATTGAGGGAGATCCACCAGTCCACATCACCTCCTAAGGTGAACCCTCAAGAAAAATCACATTCACACATCTAGGTCCCAGCACAATCAGGTCTGATCTGCCTCTCAAACATCCCGCTGACGGTTTGTTTGATTGCAGAATCCCACTATAGACCGCCCGACTCAAGGACATGGACTAGCGGCGATCGCGGCGATATTGAGATGAATGAAGGTCAGTTCCATGACAGGACTGTGCGAGTGAGGGACTTTGTTGAGAGACGCTCCCATCATGCCCATCCACTGTCTCATCTCTAAGGTCATCTTGATAATGATCATGACTCCAGGCACCTCGGGTAGCCATGCAAGCTTTTGCTTTGATTGGGGTGCCCTCCAGCTGTCCAACCGGTCGAAACGCTGTGCCCATGACCTGTCCAAGTGGCACATCCAAAAATCGGCTATTGCCCCAGAAGCCCAAGGTGTAGGTGGGGCCTGGTGAGTTCGGCGCGAGGTCCCACCATGGCCGCCAAGGTCGCCCAAATCCAAGTCCGAAGGCATCGGAAACTGGTGTCCAAGTCTCTGGAAGATGGGTCCAAACTTGAAGCCCTCCACCATTTTACCATCTAGCCGACAGACCTGGAAGAGGTAGGTGTGACCCACAGCCAGGTCGGCACACTAGGTGAAACCTCGTGGCATACCTCGTGATGCATCCCAGACGTTTATCAGACTCAATCAAACCCGCAAGAAACTGCACAGAAATCCTGCTTGGCCATCACCTGAGGATCCAACGCGGGAACGAAAAAACGATCAACACACACTTGGTGCCAAACAAAGGCCTTCCTGTTTGATGCATCATGATGCATCTTGTTGTTTTGTGTGATCCTTTGGTGAGAAATCACCTTGATCAACAGTGGTGTTCAGGTCCAATATAAATCCCAACTGCACACCGACCGCGCCAAAAAGGCCTTAATGCCCCCTTCTTCCACCGGCCCAAGCCGCCTGGGCCGAGGTTGGCCGCCAAGTCGTCCATCTCGCGGATGTACTCGGCGATGCGACCCTTCCTGCAACAGCGGCACGACCCCCCGGGTCGCGACCCGGGCGCACAGCAGGTCGTCATGGGCGGCCCTGTTGGACATCTCCAAAAGCCAAGGTTTTGGGTGTCAAAAGAACTTTGAACTGGCACTGGCAAAGGCTTTCATGGGAAAGATTTGGGGTCAATTGGGTCAATGGCCTCCAGAATGGGAAAGATTCCTTCTCATGGCCCGGAAGTGCTAGCGACACGGTGTGCTGGTGGAAGAAGAGTGGGTGCTCTGGCCAGGTCCGCTGAGGAACTCATCCGATCTTCCACCCACCCGACCTGCGAGTGGTCATCCGCCGAGTCATCAGCGTGGCTTGGGATCATCCAGCAGCGACGTTCGTCGACCGGGTTTGCTTCCAGAACCGGGAAACGAACACATAGTTTCCTCAGAAGGGGATTCATCCCATAGGGAAATGGTTTTTTAAAAAGGTCTGAGCAAAACCAGGTTTTGTTGTGGAGGAGAGGGGGTTCCCCATGACCGTATGACCCGTTCACTGGATGGGTCTCAAAACCTGACATGGAACTCCTGGCAGCAAGGTCAAGTTGGGGGACGAAGCGCCACTGAGTTCCCACAACCACTCCGTGCGCGCAGACCGCGGGCATGCGCGGTCGCGTGGCGCCTGCGGCTTCCGTACTCCGGGAAATCCGGCGAGGTCATGTCCGGCACCTCTTCTCCAGGCTGCCTTTGGTCCGACGTGCGACCGAGGTCTTTCCACACCGTGCAAGAAGAACCTCGCTGAAATGGTCCCGGTGTAGAGCGAGCGTGGTAGAAAAAAGGTCCCCGGAGGCAAAACAACATCGATCACCCTACCAGTGGCCCTCAAAACCATGGAAAAATGAAGGGTTTAACATACAAAAACCATGTTTTTTGCTAAAGAAAACCTGTTCTTTTTAATGGTTGCGGGTCCCCTGGTAGGTGGTGGTAATCCACTTTACTTTCATGTGACTTTTCCGAGGTGCTCGGCTTCGCGAAGCCAAGCGCGTGGAGGCGACAAGGCAAACGTCTCCGCCGCATCTTGAGTCTTGGGCTTACTGGGAATGTTGGCTAATTCGGAACCTGTGAAACAAATGAAAAAAGAATCCCGGTTCCGGGACTTGACCCGTTGGGACAGTGTTTTCACACTGCAAAACCAGGTGTTCCCACTCAGTCCTGGATGCCTACTCTCGAGGATGTGATGGACGCCCAGTGGTCTCACCGAAGCGATGGTATCTGCTGAGCTAGGCACGTGATAATAAACTGGTCGAAGGCCCAGAGCGGCAAGACCTGAGCCGAGTCCCCTGACATGGAGGGGAGGTGTCTTTTCACTCTGAAAAAAAAGAACTCAGAAGAAATGAGAGAATCATGATGCAAATCCGCCCGAAACCAAAAAAAAGATTGGTATAGTCCTTCAATCTTGCATGTCATTTCACCGTGCCCTGCAGTCTTGGGTCCAAACCCTTGGCATAGTACAAATCTAGTGCTAATATCAAATTGTGCCTGCTGCCAATTACCAGATTCTGACTCTAGCAAGCGGCATCCTGTCGCAAGGACTGACCACAAAACATATACCAAAAAACGCATATTACACAGAAAAAAAAAAAAAGCATGACATTTGACGTCCCTCCTGCCCCAAGTTACGCATGCAAGATCAAAAACACTGGGCTCGAACGCTACGCTGGCCCAAACCCGGTTGTGAACGGTGAAACGCCTCCAAGGGTGATGCCCGGGCGTTCGCTCCCTCAAGCTGAGGGCACAGGTGGTTCTGTCGATTCCTACATACCTTTGGAGCTATGTATGAACACCTAGTTACCTAGTTCCCAAAGATGCCAAAGATACGTCCATTTGGAGATATCACCCTTGAGGTCGTTGTTGTTTTTCTCTCCTTTCGCCTCGAAAAAGGACCAAAACAGCTCCAACCGAACTCCCCTCGTCCCGGCGTCCCGGACGATGGTCGGCTTCTCGGATTCCTCTCCTGGGATGGCCTGGCCGGGTGGTGTAGATCCCATTCCGTCACAATAAGACGAGTGAGTCGGACTGGAAGGTTCTAGGTGGAGTCATCAATAGTCGTCAGGGTTTGGGCATATTCTTATTATATATCTACTATAGGAACAAGAAGCAGGTGGAGGCTATCGCTATTGGGTTGGAGGCCATCTCTTCTAGTAACAAGAAGCTACTACGTCATGGTTTGGGATGGTTTAGGTGTAATTATATATCATATATCCCAGACACCCTGGGGCCCAGCGGATGATGGGGCCTGGGTTGTGGGCCTTTTTCAAAAATAGTGAAGAACACCGAATCCAATTGAGCGGTGTTCCAGCATGTCGTTGTTTCTGAGAAGTCCCGTCAAACACAGATTCTTATGCTAGGTCGGCCACGCAAGGCTTACAAGGCTTACGTTTTCCTGAGCTTTGCTTTTGGCGACACAGGTAGGTGTATGTGTACATTGTGCTTACGGCCGCTTACAGCCGCTTACGGCCGAGGTCTGTGCCTTCTTCGATATCTTTGGGCCCAGCTGTCACGAAAGCAAACAACTTCAAAAAAAACGCAACCGTACCGCACCGAGCTCTGGAGGCACATCCTTAAGGCGAAGCTGATGGACATCGTATCAGCTGACGAATCAATGAGTTCACAACTTGTTCGCCGACCCCACACCTCAAACATGGACAGGTGAATTTCGAACACCTCAAGCCTCAAATGGATTTGAGTTTTCATGTTCCCAGAACTTGGACCAACACATCGTTGGGGAGTCTTGCTGTACTCAATACACACCTGTCGCGTTGGGGGTCCCTACCTCAATTGGCCAAAAAAGAACGTCAGTCGCGTTGAGGAGCCCTGTTTTGGGAGTACAACTGAGGGTCCCCTTCCCCGTCAAAAAGGATCTGAAGATTCATGAAAGTACCTGCCACACATGACTTTCGTGTCGGACCGAAAGTGCTCGTGTTGGCCACATGCCATCCGCACCTTAGCCGGATCGTCCCCCTGAGTGTTGTACACACCACCCACGGCCTGGCCAAACGCGGCGCGCTTGCGCGTGGAAGCGGCGGCGGGGACACGGCCAAAAAAGGTGGCAAAGACCTTGACTGCCCTGGCTGGAAGGAAGATGATCTTGTTGGACTTGCATCTGCCTGACCCCAAGCAGCCCAACCTTCTCCATCCACATCCAAACCCTTCCCATCATCCTCGGACTGCACCCAACATCCTCTGTCCGCCTGCCGAATGGCGGCCACCGAGAGCTGCACCACTCGCTTCGCCGCGGCGGGCAGGTGGACGTAGTCCTGGGGCCAGTCGATCACAGCGACTGGCCGATGCTGGAAATAGACAAAGAAAGCAAGTAAATACCAGCACCTTCAAAGGGGTCACCAACGGAAGTACTTAGGGCCTTAGGGATCTCCATTGGGCACCCCTTGAAGGTCCAGGTATGAAGTATATACAATAGAGAGCAAACACCAGTTGCCATTTACATTCATGAAGGGTGTCATGAAGGTAGAGACAACAATTGAGCCTCTTCTCAACAACTTCCAACACTTGCGCTCTCGCGTTGTGCTCTCGCGTTGCGCTCGCGTTGTGCGCGGCTGTGCTCCTCCAGCTCCACGCCGAAATAGAGATCTTTGCAGGGCAGCGGCTTCTTACACACGAATTGAATCCTCGGGACTGCCACGCAGAGGCTTCTGGAGATGCTGTGATAGCTGCAGGGGGGTGATCTTCATAGTGGGTAATGAACAGAAGTAGAAACAATCTGGCTGTAGAGCCTGAGAGAATGGGCTATTGCCACCTGAAATGAGTCGCATGGGACATTGAAGGATCAGGATGATCTTCTCAAGCCACCACGACCACAGAATGAAGGGGGAATCCTATGTCTGTGTCTACCTGGACCTTCAAGGGACGCCCAATGGAGATCCCTAAGTACTTCCGTTGGTGACCCCTTTGAAGGTGTCTGAGGTGTTGTTCCAAAGAGATCCTTGGAAAGAATATGGACTGATCATCTCTATATAGGTGCCTTTCTCCAGGCCGTCACGGGGTTCCGTCACGGCTCACTAATCCACTCGCGGACGATGTCCCGACCGAGTTCGGTCACCAAGGGGCCGAAGTTCCCAGAGACCTCAGGTTCGTTTTTGGACACTCGGTGGTCGGCCTCACCAGACCACCACGGGAGAGAGGGGCGGCCCTGGGGGCCAACGTCGAAGCAACTCGAATTTCTGCGCACCTGTCGGGTGGCGGCTCTTCTTGCGCCCATGTCTGGGGCCGTTGGGTCTTCGGAAACGACTCCAGAATCGCCCATGTCTGAGGTTCGGAAACGAATCGTGTGGGATTGGACGGATGTATCTTACCCAGGTCTCAGAGTGTGAGGCTCCTGTCTTACCCATGTTCCCAAGAGGTTTCGAGGCGCCTGATCTGCCATCCTCCAAGAAGGTTTCGGCGCCCCAATTGGATTGCAACATGTCTAGGTGCGGCGTTCAACACCTGTTGGGGGGTCCAGAAACTCAACACAGCTTCAATCGGAGCTTATACTCAACTGAAACCAGATTCCACTTCCACACCCTGCTCGCAGGGCGCGGGGGGGGGGGGGGCCTCAAAAGGTGCTCTCTTCAATGCACTTTTGGAAAGACCTGCAGTCACAGAGCTTCCGAAAGCCGAATCTCCACCATTCTCCACCAACATCGCTTTCCAGTCCCACCTGGCACACCCCATCCAGTCCCACCCAGTCCCCGCAGCGCGCTCCCGCCGAAAGGGCCACGCCCCACGCTCTGCCGCTCTGCCGAAAAGAATGGCTTCAGAACAGCAGATTCGAAGCAGATCCATGTTCAGTCTCCCCAAAAGAGTTACAACCCAAGTCGCCCACAACCTCGTGCAGACCCATTAACCAAAAAGCCACGACTTGAACCCATTCGCAGCGTCGAGTCTTCACCGGCTCACAAGTCTTGTTCACCCCAACCAGCCAAGTCCTGAGCCTGTGAATCCCTCGACCTTCTCCACCACTCCACCGGGCCACGGGTCTTCCCTCGGAAGTACTCGGCGAAGTCCAGCCCCCCCGAGGCCCCGCGAAAGGCGCGGCCGTCCGTGGGCGGGTGGAAGAAGAAGTAGCCTCGGCGGTCGGTCGACGGTGGGAAGGTTCCAAGAGAGGTAGCCAGTGAGAGGTAGAACTTATGGTTCCAAGAGAGGTAGAACTTAAGGTATCTTAAGGTCCATTCTGGGGTACCTATGGGATAGTCTAGTTCAGGTTCTTCAACCTCTGTTGGTTGAGGTTGGTGAGTTCCGTTTGGATTTCGCGGGGAGACGGTGGGAGGCGACGGCACCTGGTTCAAGCAGATCTCCTTTTGGAAGCCCCCCGGACGAAAGGGGGGGTCCCGAGATTCTCCAGATAGTCTCGGATCCACTTCAAGAGGAATACCTAATTCTCCACAAGTTCTACCAGTTCAAGTACAGTAAAACATAGAAGATCACAGAAGTGGCAAAGGCCACGCAAGAAAGAGAAACATGGTTTTCAGTGCCATGCCATCCACTTCCAAAGGAAGATGGTTCTAACATGTTCTAACATACAGCATCAGGGGCCCCACAAATCCTAAATAACAGGTGTCCCCTAGCAAGAAACATGGTTTTTGCATCTGAACACCTAGTGTTTTTCAATGCTCTTGAGGGCCACTGGTACACCCCGGTTCTGAACACATGACCGCAGGGCGGCCCGTTTGCCCCCGCGTAGGACGCCAAGGGACTACCTTTGCAAAGCTCCGTCTCAAAGGGAAAAGGCTCCTGAAGCGGCTTGGCCGTGCTGCGGGGCGAAATTGGCTGCGCTGTCTCTGCATGTCTCGTTCCGTTCAAAGAAAACGAACAACAGCAACGACAAATGTCGACGTTTTGTGTTAGTTTTTTAATGGTCTGTCAAATGTGTTAGAGAATCGATGCCCAGCTTTACCTCTCACAGAACGCGCATGTTTCCCAGAGTTACATCTCGTGTTCAGACCGTGTGAAAGCACCGCTCTGTCAGCGTCGCTGTCCGCGCAGAGTCGCGGTCTTCCCTTTCCGAGCTTCTCCCTCGCGCTCGCGCTAAGGCGCCCGCCTCGGGATTGCTCCAGTGGAGCCCCACGGGCGGATCCAGGGCGATCTCCAACTTCCTCAGGTGTCCGCAAGCTGCGCTGCAGCGGTCAACTCGATGAACTCGATCCATGGACGGTTTCAATGCCAGGTACCATACACCTTTTTGGGCTGTTCACGTGATGTAGAATGTCGAAATGCCAGCAATCTAACCTCCCCAGACATGGATTGTAAGACCTCCTCAAGCTTGCAGAGGTCTTACATGTCCAGAATTCTACCTCATTCTCCTTCCTTCTACCTAGCTTGGGCATCCTGGCTTCCCCGGCGGCATGGCGCCCAAGCCAAGGTTGGCCAGGCCCTGGGGATCGGATGAGAGAAGACAGACTGCGCCGTCGGCACAGAAGTGGGTGACTGAAAAAGAAAGAAATCTTCAAAACATGGGTCTGCAGACTTCCTGCATGTTGTGGGTGTGGAGGAGCGAAACCTGTTTCATACAGCTTGTGGGTGTGGTGTGTGGGAGGCTTTTAGTGGAAACAGCGTCGCGAAGCGGTGGTTGCTTAGAAATCTAACCCTGGATTGTTGTGTTTGGTGCAGAGTTGAGAGGGGGTCTTCTGGTCTTTGAATGGTTGGTCATATTTATATACATATATATATATACTGTATATATAATATATAGTCTTCCAACATGAGCTCTACGTCTCTCAAACAGCAAAATCGGCTCGGGCTCTGGTGTCTTCACTGCGTGGGCGGGAATGTCCAAGCATAAAAGTAATGAAGTCAACTATCAAAGAGCTGCGTCTTCAGAACGAACGATCAAAAAGTGTTCCAAATCTTGGTGTTTAGTTCGAAAGTCATCCAGTTCCATCTTGAGCTGTTGACTTTTCCTAAAGTGGATAGCAACCAGGCTGGGAGGTCCCTCACGGCATCCGGCCCCCCCGGCCTCGTCGTCCACTGAGGCTCCACCGTGGTTCTCAGTGCTTGTCTGGCACAGCGTGGCACCGTGGTTCGACTCAGGTGGGGAAGCAATGACCTTGGACCGACCTTGGACTGGCAGTAGTAGCTGCTTTGTCCTGCTTTGTGAAGACCCATCTAGTAGTCCTAGTCACTTTGGAGTGTGACAGGAGGGGGGGAACCGTTCCCCCCCCCAAGCATGTGCCGCTATGAACAGTTGCTTGGGACTCATGACACGGCGTCTGCAGGGCCTTCGAACTGCTCTTGCTCAGCTGCAGGATGATGTAAAAAATCAACCTGAAGCACAAGGAAATGGTGGATCATGGCCTTCAAGGAGGCCGGAAAACAAGTATCAGTATGCTGCGTCGCCTCTCCAATGTGTTGTGTCCAGAGATCGTCTGGCCAAACCTGTTCAAGCAAAAAGTCGCCTTGAGTTCTGTGACTCACCCCAACACACTTCACTTCAAACACCACTGGCAGTGTCTGCCTTGTCCTTAGCCCTCTGAAGGCTCACACCACGATCCCATCCAAAACCGAAACCGACATGCCATGGCACCCTGATAGGCCGCATCGAAATAGACCAATATCGACCAAGACCAGGATGTTAGGATGTTTCTTGACATGCGATGGACGAGCAGCTCTGCCCTTTGGGGCTGTTCAAAAAATTTCTCTTCAGTACCTCTATGTACCATCTCCAGCGTTTCTTGGGGATTTCAAGAATCCAGAAGCTGGCGCCTAGGACTCCATCGATTCAAACCCCTTGACACCACGTGAAGAACTCAACTCTTGGATCCGAAGTGCTGTTCCACCTGCCAGCGGTGTTGCTCCCGCAACGTCGGCCGTGCTTTGGGTGGCTGGCTTCTCGGCAGCGCCCCGGGTGCTCCCCAAAGCATCGCCGCCCCCCAGCCCCGAGTTTCGGCCAGCGGGTTGTATCCCTCAGAGGCCCGGACAGCAAGACAGCGAAGGTTCGCAGGTCCAGCCTAAGCTGCCGACCGACCACCGAAGGCGAAGGCTCGTTTGTCGTGGAAATGGACTTGGGGAATGCATGAGGCGCCCCGGCGCTGAAGGTTGATGTGGGGAGGAAGATGGGATTCGTAAGAGCACTGGCTGTCTGAAAAAGGCTGGCTGTCTGTGAATACACAACTTGATTGGATGCCAAAGACTAAAGACCCAACAGAAAATAGACTGATGAAGTTGTTTCTTGCTTTTGCATGTTTTTGTTATCTTCTCTTAGCTCTTGAATTGAAGAAAGAGACCGTGAATGCAACGAACTTCAAAAATTGGGCCACACGTTCCTGGCTCCATGAACCGCGAATGGCCTATGGCCTTAGAGACAAGCTCTTCGTCATCTCCAGGGTGCCTGACGTGGAGATCCATGCTGCCGCCTGCTCCGTCAAAGCCATGGCAGTCGTGATCCTATAAGGCTAAGGTCAATCAAGGTCTTGTGGCTGAGCGGTTGGATCTCATCACTGGGGGCGGAATCATCGAAAAGATGCAAAAACCACTGGAGGCCTTGAGCCGTTTGAAACCCCAAATCTCCACTGAAAAACCGATGTCCCTCCAAGGCTTCCCCATCTTGGGAGCGGAAAAAATCACGTGTTCGATGCATGGCTCACTGCGGCTCCTCAACACGCAGTGTCAATGTCCGGAGGTCATGTGGGTTTTTTCTGCCACCTGAAATGGAGCACATCTTGAACATGCAGGAGAGCAGCATGGGGGTTACGAGAAATTATCTTAGGAGTGATCACATGGCTTCTGATCCCTTCTCTCCTAAGCAGCGCATGTCTTGAGCCGATTCGGAAGGTCAGGGGACCGGGAACTCCGATGGGCGGGTTCTTCTGCTCTCGGTTCAAAGGCAAGAACCTTCCTCACTTGGTGGCCATTCAATCAGACCAAACCGGCGAAAAGGGTCTTTCGGAGAAAATGCACCAGGAGATTGGCTCTAGAAGTGGGTCAGAGCAACGAAGAGTCGTACGATGTTTACCCGGTCTCATGGGTGGACCGATCGTCATTTCTGGCGTTTGGGGTGCTTGGCTCGACTCCCACCGGACCCCGGCGGCCTCTAACACCGTGACGGTGGACATCCACCGGGGATGCTGAACGGTGGGTTTGAGTTGGTTCACGAACTTCACCAGTGCCTCCGTTGGAATCTATGGGAGATCATGCCCCAACATGTCAAGAAATGGACCAATCCCACGGATGGAGGGTTCCAGGATGTTCCAGGTGTGAAGTGAGACCATGGGGAGAAGACGAGAAGGAACCATTTCTCCCCTGGATAGATCCGTACACCGGTCTTAGGGCTCTGCAACCTCGCGCAATGCTTTTGTTTTCTCTCTGCGGCGTCAAGTCTCGCCTGGCCGTGCGGTTTGGTCACCACAGAGGCCACCCCCTGCCACCCTTCTCATCCATGAGATGTGTCTCCCAAGATGGTTGGTGGCTTCAGGCTTGCAATGATTGGTTGGTTGCTTGCTTGGTCTTTCCTCATCCAACGGTCCCGGACGGTCTCAGGCCGGTCCCTGACGTTCCGAACCAGCGGCTTCCGAACGGGCGAAGGGACTGATCGCATGGTCATGTGCTTTAGTGTCCTTGATAGATTTCTCCTGTGGTTCATCCATTGATCACATGGAAAGATGGAAAGATGGATGGATGGTTGATAGTGACCTTGATGTGCTTTAGTGTCCTTGATAGATTTTGTGGTTCAACCCCTGTCGTCCTGTCCCTATCTGCGTCGATGCCTTGGAGCCTACTGATGCTACCAGCCTCTTCAGTGTAACACTCGATGAAGCTTGGTTGCCCGGTGTGGGGAGATATTCTCCCATGGAGCTTGGCGAACTCTCCTACCACTGAGATCACTGTCATCGGGATCTGGCTTTGACCCACATTCATCCGCCCTGAAAACATGATCCTTGAGTTCGGGGTCCAAAAAAGGCACCATCAGCAGCCAGTCCAAATTCCATATATTGAGACAAACCGAACCCTCTACTCATCTCTGCTCTAAGTGTTCTCTTGGGTCAATGGTGTGAACATCAACCCATCGAGTCATGCTTTGACAAACACTAACACCCTGTCAAACCACCAGACAAACTGCCGCCGGATCTGCTCGAGCTCTTCAAGAGGTGCTTCTCCAGATACTTGGCAACACCATCCTCCTTTCAGCGAGCTTTCGGCCGGGGACGAGAAGCACAAGCAAATTGATTGATTTGTCCAGCTTTGCCGATATATTCTTGCGTCAAAAACAATACCACCAGGAATCTACGATGGTGGTGTGTCTCATCTAACTTGGCCAAACACATGTCCAAAATTGAGTTCCCGAAATGGAGCTTTCGGCTAGAGGCCACACTCTCCAGAAACAATCAAAAAGATGAAAGAACAACACGACATACCATGAAGCCCTGAAACGACCTACCATGTGTCTTTACTTAGTGCCTTCCGTTTCCGTGTTTTGCGCCAGGTGTTTACGCCAAGCTTTTCAGGACCCAGAAAGGACCGAAAAGCTGGTGCCCCTGGAAGCAAGAACTCGCTTCCATTCGTTCTTTGGTCAACACGAAGCACGAGAGACAGACTTCTATACGAAGCTCTTCCTGTTGGCCTACTAAGCTGTCGTCATTTCTTTCTGACTTCTACACGTCTTGTCCAGTCTTGTGTAGAGAAAACATGGGCCGCGGGCAGTCGCTCTTGCCAAGGAAAACGATGAGTAGAGAACAAGATCGAGTCTTTTCGATTATGGTATAACACAGTATAACTATCCAAAAATATCACTTAAGGGTCCTTCGCAGATCTCGTTCGCCCCACTGCCAGTCGTCCGCCAGTCACTTCGGTCGCTTCGACCACCGGGCGGGCGAAGTGGTTTCTCGATCCCTCCTCGTTGGTGTGCTCGGTGGTGTCATGGCCTAGGTGTCGAAGTCCGGGTGAGAGATGGATGGATTCAAGTTAGGAACCCCCAGGGTGAGAAGGGTGAAGTCCCTCAAAACCTCGTATTTCACCACTGACCCAGGACCCAGGAGGTCGAGGTGGTACCTCTTTTTGGTTGGGCTATGAATGGACACACCCAAACAGCGGGGTCCTGATTTGGAGTTGTAGCCAGGTCAGTTGTTGGCCTGCTGTCATGCAGGCCCCCGAGGTATTTAAACATGCTTCGCATGGAAGCCGAGGCCACAACCTTGCACTTTCAATCCGATGGTTTGCCAGTGGCCTCTTCCAAGACCGCGCCCAACACAATCCAAAAACATGTAAACAGACGAACTGGGAGGGGTTAGGTTCTAAGCAAAGACCCACCCACCTGTGTGAAGATTTATTGGAGCGCCAGGGAAATCCAAGGAACTTTGGGGAAATCCTCCGATTCGATGACCGTTGCACCTCAACCAGGCACTGAGTCATAACACCTATATACTTTTGATTCCTTTTGCCGGTTTTCTTTTTGAAACGGGGAGACTGCCTTGAAGCGATATAGTGGTCCCAAAGTAGATGGCAACTCTGAAAATAGAATATGATATGAATTTGCCCTTCCTATTTCGTGTGGCCCCATTCGGCATGTTGACAAGGGCAGCGACATGTTCCATCGGTTCTTCCAAAACCTGTTTCCCAGGTCGGAAGTGGCTGCTCACCGACCGCGGCGACCCACCCAGCGACCCAGCGGCCCACCAGGGCCTCTCGACCTATCCCCGCCAGTGCGGGAAGATGATTTGCCATCCTCACGCCCCAGCCTCGGTTCCACATGTCCACCGAAGCGATGGTCGACGCCCATCGCTTAGACTCCCAAAAGGAATAATCGAACAAATACACCTGACCGGCACAACATGTAAGCAGGATTTTTCCCGAAGGACATCCATGTCGAAGAATATATGCTGCGTGAGTCACTTCCAACATGCTTTCCCGAAGACTTCCTTGTGTCATGCATTTCTTTGCCCTTTTTGATTCAAGTCTTTTGTGCTAAAAAACCCTAAGTCGCCCAAAAGTACGAAAAGCAAAGCCAAATTCAACGAAATGGTAAGCAATGGAAAATGACATGAACATGACACGGTAAGCCTGCGATTTGGAGCCAACACCCTGCGATTCTTAGGGAAGGGTTCTTGGCCAAGAGTAAACCTTTCCAGCCACTCTCTGACAGCCCGGTGAAATCGTGTGCTCTCCCAAACACTTACAGGTCCATTGAGTCGATCCAGAGCTGGATCGAAGCTTCACGCCGCATCCCACGTATCGCAGACCGCCTCATCAGAGTCCATTGGACACCCCGGTGCCTTCAAATGTGCCTGCTTCATAGATATACAGTGGGCCATCAGAGTAGATGGCACTGTGCCCCCAAGATGTCCTTTAGATGGGGGGTTCCATATAACCCACCAAACTTGGGGATTGTGCCATCTACTCTGAACCCACTGTACATAGATCTACGACACCCCTATCCTTCCTATACATACCTGTCCAGGTCTGCTTCCTCCAAAGAAGATTGTACGAAAAATGGCCCCCGACCGCGGTCTCGGCCGAGCGCGCGCCTGTTTCGGGGGCCACGCGGTCCCGGCGAACCGGAGCTGAGGTTCCACGCCCACCTCGCTGAGCATGCGCACATCGTTGGCATCGTCGCCGAAGGCCCAGACCTGGGGGCGGGAGGGAGCGCGAAACGACAAAAGGAGGGCCATTCGCTGCCGAGACGCGTGGAGGGGATCGGTCTGAAGAATTCATCGAAATCACAAAGCAAACACAGCTCTTCAGGGAGTCATCATGACATCTGTCTATCATCTGTAGCTCTTTGGAAAATGAAGTTGGAACGCACTTACTCAGCTGTGTCTCCAAAAGAGCATGGCAGCTGTTCGAGACCTCCCAGCAGCCGAAAAAGGGCTTTGGAAAGGATGAATTCGATGGACCTAGGGGAGTGAAAGGGAAGTGATTTCAGCAAGAGAACTGAGAACCCCCAGAAACCGTGTCTTAACGAGCTCTTTGGGATTTCTGATGGGATCTTTGAGTATACTGTAAGCTTTTAAGCCTGTAAGCATTCTCAAGGATCTCAAGGATCTCTTGAAAGGAAAAAGAGTACACTCCCACTCACCAACTTTGAAGTGGACAACCCCCTGTTGGTAGATGAACATATAGAGTCTTCCGGACCATTCTCCACTATGAGTGGCTCGGAGGTTCTTCGAATTTCGCCTCACCCGGTCTTTTGCTGGCTCCTTTTGGGACTGGGCGCCTACTCATCCAGATACCGAACAACATCTCGTCTCGTGTCCGCTGCAGAACCGCCCGATCCACCAGGCCACATTCTCCAGTGGGATCCCAGCCACCTGGAGAAAGGTGAGGGAGATCAAGGAAGTCCATCAGACTGGGAGGGGGTGGAGCCAATGGATCCTGACTCATCTCCATGCATCTCCATGCATCTCATCCATTCTTCATCGAGTTTTCCCAGAAGAACAAGTGTTGATCAGGTGATCCTGGTACCAAAAACAGGGAACGCCAGGATCGAGTGTGTCTACCTGGTCCACCTCTTGGATGTCTGACCTTTTCATCCCATGTTTTCCAGAAACGTCCAAGCCCCAAGGATGAACGCTTCGTTTTGCCGGGGGAGTAGGTGAGAATAGCTTTGCTTTGATGTACAAAGACGTCTTTCATGTTGGATTGATCAACCTTGTCTGATCTAAGTCTTTAATTGATCAACAACTCCGAAGATCCCTCACCGCACCTGGCACAGGTTCCGAAGGCCGTCGGCCTTGTTCACCCGCGAGCTCTGCACCTGTCGCGCGTCCGGCCATCCGAGAGAGGTCCGTCGGGACGGTTGGAAGAGTTTCGATTGATACCTTGAGGTGGTTTGTTACGGCCTTGATGCAGAAAAACAGGTGTGAGTGTGTGTGTCTTTGTCTTAGGAGAAATAGAACAAATGATTAAAAGAATGATTCTTGCAGGGTGAAGAGCTGCTGCAGGAACAATGATTTTGGAACAAGAAGTAGGAATGCTTCTTGGAGGAAGCCGAGCCGTGCATTCCAGTCACCCTTCCTTTGGCGGCCAGCTCTGTGACATGTCTTTCTGGGTTTTCAGGTCACTCAGTGACGGCAAGGCAGTTCTGGGAGGACTGTCCAACCCCCTTCCCCAAGGCAAACCTCCTTCATGCGTTGATTGGGCGGCGTGCATCCGTGCTGGTTCTGCACTCACCAAACTCCAGCCTAAAATCACGCTGAGCGACTGAATCAAGTTCTTGGGTTCAGTTCTTCAACAAGGAAACCTGGCGTGTAAGCGTGTGGACCACATGTTCAGAGACCCTTACATCGATAGACACTCAAAAATAAAGGACCCACAGAGACACACCGTGGGTCTTCGGTATACCGCTGGGTGGGGGTCTTCCAGGATTGTCCATAGAGCTCGCCTGAGTTGAAGGAGTTTAGGCAAGATGTTTGATCAATTATAATCAAATTCTATATCCCCCACCCCTGAAGGGGGGAGGAGCTAGAGGACTTTGACCCACCCACCACCTCAGCCAATTCGCGTCTCAGCAAACCGTTACATTTCCCCCATCTTCCCTGCGCCTCACAGCAGTTCCGCCTTGGAGGTTTTGGAGGATGAGACTTGGGAAGAAGATCGGAAAAGAAACACCGTGAACCTTTGCCGTGGACCATTTGGGGACCACCTGGACCTCAAAGACCAATTCTTGGGTTCCTCGCCAGACCATACCCTACCCCATGCCTTTGGAAAGTCCTGACACCACAGCTATGCCTGGATGACTTTGCTGGGCCAGGCTTGCAGGTTTTTGCTTTTCCCCGGTACAGTGCCAGGAAGCTGACGCTTCAATCAACCAATGGCAAACGGTCACACAGTTTTGCACCCTTCCGACAAGCTTCAGACACGAGGAAATGCCGGTGTTTCTTCAATGCAAGGAAAATTGAACTTGTTTCAAGGACCTGTCCTGAGACAAGTGTCAAACTCAAACCTCCTGCCAGCACAGAAAAGATTGCAGGAACATGCCTGGTTTCTTGTGGTGCCCACCTTTCCTTATACATTCAACCATTGCAGAGGCTGGCCGCAGGCTTCAGAGTGAACAAAGGAGCCGGCCCCACTCCAAGGGCGTCCAACTGTTTGGATGTCCAAAACCCAAAGGATAGTTAATGTGGCTTTCCATTATTGTGGCTGTATGAAGTGCAGGAAACTGCGCCAAACCACAGGAAAACGCTTAAAACAGCATTAAAAACACAACAACAAAGTCCATAACCTGACAGTTTGAAACATCCAAAACACTCGACAAAAATCCAGCTTGAGTGGTCTTACGTAGGCAAAGCTCTTTTACGTCTGTTCTTTTCCTGGTCCCACTACTGTACAGTACAAGAAGAAGGGATTCCAATTTCATCTTCGACATTCATGTTTCTTCAAGGCCCACATCTCTCATGCTGGTCGTCCCGTTTCATGACACCCATCTTCGGATGAGGACCGCAAAAAGCTCCTCCGGTCCTTCCACCGCCTCCGAAGCTCCACCCCTGACGACCAGCGAGCGCCCGGACATCTTTGGCAAGAGCTGCTTGATCTCGCGGACCTCCCAGGCTTCACCCACCACAGCCTTCACCTGCTTCATGGCCTCACCGAAGTCCAGGGCCTCCGGCCTCCGGAGAGAAACGAACATGTTTGGGTCATTTTGGATGAGGGCGTGGAGAACTCTGAGTGGGAAGGTCAAAGGAATCGGCTCTTTGAATATGCGGTCCTGGGGGCAAATCTAGAGATGATCATATAGAGATATTTCTATACTCAAACAAAGAGGGGTTGCGATCTACAGAAAAAAAAGAAACAGGCAGGAGACGTGACGAACCAATAGTGATGGCGCTGCTGTTGTTCAAACGCATATCATACCTCATGACCACATCCTGGGGCCCCCAGCAGGTGAACATAGGTCTTGGCGCATTTGCAGCCCTTTTCCACATCTTGAACCTCAGCCGAGGTCCACATCGTTCAGTGGATTCGCATGGAGGGAGTGGGGCACGAGTGGTTGCAAGACCTGTGGGACGCGAGTGGTTGGAGATCAAAGAAGGCCACAATCTGTCCTCAAAAGGGGTGTCACATTGGCCACGGCTCAAGAGTGGGGTATATGAGGAGACCATCCAAACTCATTCCTAAAAAGAAATAACTAAAACCTATGGCTGGCTTCGGTTGAGCCACCCGTACTTGCGTATCTTGTGCCTGGGTCGCCACTCAACAAAGGACCCAAAAGTAGAGTTCATTTTAGGTTCAACATGCTCTACAACTAGTCTGCCCGGTCCGCCCAGTCCAGTTCAATTTTGTTCCTTTCGTTTATGGACTGACGGCTGAGTGGCAGACGACATCCGGTACTTTTCTCCTGGCACCATCTGTGATGTCAAGGGTACCAGTTTCTCAGCTTCATCAGTCTGGGATTGACATGGCAAAAAACCTGTAGCTGCTCCCACAAACACCTTTGGATGGTCAGTGGGCCAACCAAAACCTGTTGAAAAGCTCCCGCTGCATCCAGTCCCCTTTAGCAGAGGTATTCTTGACAAAGGCTCATGTGCTTCAGGAAGAGGCCAAAACTGTCAAACTCTCGAAACAAGAAGCCCATGTTGGTCGCAGATCAAATGACCTTCACTGCGAATTGCAGAATTCTTTCCGTCCAGTTCCTCTCCCCCCTTTGTCACCTTAGTCCGCCGCAGCCCGGTGATCCAACGAGATGCTTTGGCACCCAAAGCCCAGTTGTCAAAGAGAACCCCCTCAGATCGACCGGTCAGCGCCTGAAGATTTTCTCTGCTGCCTGCCGCTGTTCTTCGTCCTCCAGGGGCTTCGGCATCAGAGCACATGTTCCTCAATTATCAAAGCCAAGGGTCGAGTCCACCATAGTCCACCGGAAGAAGCTGGTTCCACATGAGAGATCTGGGGATTTATTGGCGGTCTGACCCAGTCTTTCCTCATGTCTTGCAGTTGGGACCACCCCCGCTCACCATTCATAGAACACGAAAGCATGTCACTCGGCAGCGAACATCGTCGGTGCGTGACGTGCTGCAACCGGAAGTGAGGCCCAGCACCCCGACCTCCAACCAGGGGTGCTTCTCCTCGATGAGTCCTGGCGTGAAGCAACAACATTCTGGGAAATTCACAGGTCGGCATCTAGAAACCATTACCAGAAAGCCTGACGAGCCTGAAGGGTATTTCATGCCATGAAATTGGACGTTGCACTCATCCCCAAGGGTGTCTTCGGCCGGTCCGTCGCCATGCCCGATCCAGCTAGGAGATGTCCATCTTCGACAGGTACGTAGGATCGGAGGCCTCATGGTGGCACTTGGACCGGTTTAACCTTGGTGAAGTTGCTCTTGCAGAACATGAATACCAAAACTGTCCTGTCATCTCCCACCACCGCCCAGATCACCTGAATCTCTCCATCCAGGCAGCCTTCAGCCGCCGTGAGCTGCGCAAAAAAGACAGAAGGCATCGCTTCCTGCGCCGAACCCGAGTTCCTGGTCAGTCTTCCATTCCTGTCCAACCCTATGAAATTCCTATGACGAACCAAAAAAACATCTCCTCCTACCCAACAAAAGTGCCAACCACATCCATCACCAACAGCACCCAACATGGCTACTCGTCCTCAGCCCACTGACCCCTCTTCACTCCATCCTACTCTTTCACCTCCCACAAGCCTGGCCATCCCAGCCCCAGCAGTGCATTCTTGCGCTGGCCCACCTTGAGTTGGCGCAAGGTCTTCGCCACCTCAGCGCCTTCTAACCAGGTCTCCCAGACCGCCTGCCCATCGGCGATCCTAGCCATGTACCGCACGCGTGCGGGGGGCGTCTGGAAGCCCAGATTGGGAGGTGGACAGGCTGAAAAACCACGGGAGGTGCAGATCAGCCCAGATGTTGAAACAAAGCTTCTTGGAAAGGATTTCTTGGAGTGGTTGCGTCAAGGGACACAGCACACCACAAAATGGGTGGCATTCGATGTTTGGTCTTTCTTTTCTATAGCTTACAGGCTGCCATGAACTTCACCACTTCTGGGAAGCAATGTCTTCTGGCTGAGCACCCCTGATCCCAAACAAGAATCCATGTGCTGGCTGATAAAAGAAAAAACGTATAAAGAGGTCTTACAATCCCAATGGGGATTGAAGTAATCGAGCGTCTATCCATTCTTATGTCCCCTATGTCCCCTGGCTTTTAGCCTCGCTCCTGATCGCCCGGGCACCGTTCTCAGTGAGCACATAGTGCCGCAGGCCCGCGCGTTCCAAGGTGGCCTTGGCCTGGCAGGTGGGACACCAAAACCGTATGGCCACAGCCTTCGCAACGATGTCTTCATCTCAGGATCATTGACCAAGCTGAGACTGCTCGATCCAGCTGCCCCCCGATTTGAAGAGCGTCTCTTTTGCTAACTCCATAAGCAACTGCTCCTCATCACCTGCAAAGCGCAGGCGCGTAGGTGCGTGGAGAGTGAGGAGGTGCATACTTCAGATGGATCAACAGAAGGTGAGGATCTCCCAGGATGCTCTGGATAATGTCAGCATGACCAAGAAGACTCTTGACTCTTTGGAGTTTGGCCGGTGCAAATCCGCATCCCATCCAAACGCGGACTCTTGCCGTGTCTTCCAGTATTCTTAGGGTCCCCCAGTTGCCGGGATCGGCAAAACAAAAGCAAAGGTGACCAAGTGTGTGATCGAGCTCACTGCTACCTCACGAGAGTTAAAGACCGGAGAGCACCAGTGCCACACACCATGCTTGACGCGAGTGGCAGAACAAAGTGGAGGCACCTTTCATCAGGTCGCCAATTCGCAAGCTGCACTGGTTCTACGAGATCTTCCGCTGCATCGCAGCCTCTTGAGAGAAGCAGAACGAGACTAGCACACCCTTCTCTACTTGTATTACTCAACCCGTACTACTCAGCAAGTGGGACGGGTAGCCCACTGGTAGCATGCATGCTGGATGCCTGTGAATCCAAGACTCCGGAGCGTTCACTTCAAGTCTTAACTGAATCACAAAATACTCAACTTTGGAAAGCAAGTGTCAGTACTCTCCACACACGGGTCGGATTGTTTGCCTCCTTTTGTCGCGGGGTCTTGCCATCGCACAGATAGGCAAGGACTCTCAATGGTCCACTTGAAATTATGCAAGGCTCTCCAAGCCAAGAAGGGGAACGATTTCCAAACCAAACAGACCATCAATATGACATCACAAGTAGATATTTCACCTGAACGCCCCTCTTTGATCCATCCATCAAGGGCACAGAGCAACTGCGACTTGCAGGGACATGAGCGTCTTCTGCGCTCGGACAGTACTACTGCAAGTCCTGGACAAGTCACTTGAGCAGTGCAATGAATCGTCATCTCTCACTGCGGCACCAAGAACCAATCACGTTCATCCGCCATCTCGCAGCGTTTACACATCGCTGGAGGCGCACAGCCCTTGGTTTGGACCACATGCATGGAGTACTTGATTGGCTTATTGCAAGACATGCAATCAGCCACGCACTCGCTTGCTGTGACTTTCTCAAGGCAAGTGCTGCAATACCTCAAATGCCAGCAAAATCCAATGTCTGGAACACGTGTCGCCAAAATCACATGAACATGAAACTCTAACTGGAGCACTTAGTCTGCTACTAATCAAATGAAATATAGTTCTGCAAGGCACACGGCCCCGTAGGTGCTCATCATCTCAAAGTGCGATGGCCCAACGGAAAGGAAGTCACTGCAAAGATCACAGGCCAATTGATTGGAAGGTGATGGTCCACGAGCGCCTGGTCTCGCAGGGGTGGGAATGGCTGAATCTCCACATCCCAAGCAGGCGCACTCTCAAACTAGATTATATAACCACATTTTGGCAACAAACATCTACAAAAGCCCATTCTGGAATCCATAAACAAACAACAGTATATAGACGCGGCAAAACACGACTATTGGCATGGCAACTGCTAGTTTTTGTCCTCTTTTGACTGATTCATTTGACATTGAACACAAGAATTGGGTCAAAGATCTAGAAATGATTCCTTCCCGATGTCTCCCCAAAGCTCCTCCAAACGAAGCTGGCGTCCCTGGCACGCTTGAGACAACCGAAGCAGGGTCTGAATCAACGTCAGCCCCAAGCTGCATGGGTGAGGGCTTCAGGCCCAGGCACTGACCTGTCTACTTGTGTTAAAAGAGGAGGACGGCAGTACAGCAGCAATGAAGCAAGCAAGAAGGCTGAGTCAATCTCATCAAGCCAATAATCCCTAGACTCCTCAAAACCAAAGCAACTGCAAATCTCCCACTTCAGACCAAGCGGCACAGGGCATTGCATTGATGGCTGTGAAAGAACTGGTCCATGCCGGCAACGCCAAAGTTTCCGCGGCTGAACGAGCCCTTCTTCTTGCAATGAATTTGTGGGTCGGTCAGAATGGATTGGCCAAATCCTTGCAGATCAGTCACCATCATATGACCACCGGAGTACTGCCATGTAAAGTGGGAAAAGGCCTCTGCAAGAACGGAGCCCGGTGAGTCTGACTTGTAGCCAGCATTGTTGGTGTACTTCTCATAGCTAGCAGGCACATATGGCTCTAGCGTGGCATAACGTGCGACTGGCCACTTCTGGAATGAAAGCTTCCATGCTTCCAAGAACTGAATCGAGTATTCAGGGACTTGGCGAGAAAACTCTACTGCGAACTGCCGAGCGAAGGCTTGCGTTTCCACATCCGCAAGCGCTGAGTCTGCAGTCTGGTTCTCCTTGGACTTGTGAACCTTGACCACAAAATGCTGGCCATTGTCACTCACTGCAGGGAATGCATAGCGCATCCTTCCGCTTGCAAAGGGCTTCTGACGAATGTGAAATCGCTGCACTGTTGTGTTTGTTTTCGCTTTAGAATCCACTGTCGCATGCTGCACATCCACCGATGTTACAAGCACTTGAACAAGTGGCCACTCCTGGTGTCTTTCCCAAACAATCTCTGCCGTCTCCTCAAGCTGAAGAATGCCATCACCTGAGTCACGCTGTTTCCTTGTTGTTGCAGAATGACTAAGCGAAGACCTCAGACTTGCCGATGTGCTTGCTAATACGCACTTGACAAAGTCATCAGTGTTGTTTGCAGGGGTCAGCACCAAAGTCTGCAGCCCATGCTCCTGCAGTGCCTTCAGAGAGGTCCGGAGCTCATTCAAGGTTTGAAACATCTTCGTGCAGTTGTCATGATACTGCAATCCAACGAAATGGATCTGCAGCCGGACAGACTGGGCAATGACTTCCTCTGTTGGCTCCCACTGTTTAGGATCATCTGGATGGTGATCAAATATGGCTCTTCTTGTGTTTGCGCAGTCATCATAAAATCGGCGCCCGTGGGCTGGGCTATCGCTCATCAAATACATGATGCGAGTTTTGGCCTCCCACTGGAGTTGAACCGCCCTCTGTAAGCCACCGATGACATCTTCACACGTATCCCCTCCACCCGTTGCATCCAAGGCTTTTAAGAACCCAAGTACTTTGTCCACATCCTGTGTGAACTCTTGTACTTCAAGTTTGTTCGTGTCGCAGTAGTCCCGATAAGCAACCACTGCAAATCGAACAGTGGCTCCAGCTCCTGATGCCTTCAAGATGCCAGTCTGTATAGCTACCATCTTCTGTTTTGCAGCTTCAATTCGGGTTTCCATCGAGGAGGTGCTGTCCACAAGGAAAGCAACATCGATGGTCTTTGCTTCTTTTGCTCGGATCATTGATTCTGAGATTTCTGATTCCAGCATAGACTGCGCTTTCTTGATCCTCGGTCAGGGGAAGAATCAAGTCGAGGAAGCTTGTATACAAAAACGATGATCTGCAACTCTGAAAATACAGCTATGGCTATAGCCTTCTGACCCTTGCTGGAAGGCCATCAGCCTCTGGAGCATCCAGGAACCAAAAGCAAGCTGTGAAGGCTTGACAGTATATCCAATGTCTTCTCTGACAGCTAATTATAACCCGAGCAAATCGTCCTTAACTTCTATGTCACAGCTTCTATGTCACTTGCATGGTGAAACCTCAATCACCTCAGACTCCTGGTCAAGAAAGATTTCGTCCAAATTTACAAGTCTTTTGGTGAAAATGAATCCTTGTGTGTGTGATGATTGAATCTTTAGATAATTGTCGCACCAAAGAAGATCGAGCCAACACATTTTCCGACGAAAAACGAAAACAATTAGCCAAGCATCTTTGAAGCGCTTGCACGCAAGCTGTCCCTGCGACGAGTGCTCCCATTTGTTCGAAGGCAAAGCGCTACCAGCTGCCTTAGGCTTGGCATTCATGGTACCTTTATGACATCAAAGGGCTCTTGAAAATAAATGCTGCTTTACACTCCCTCCTACAAACTGAGCGTTTTGAGATCATTCACCTCAACTAAGGACCCTCTAGCAAAAGTAAGGTTCTGTTTCGCCTTCAGTGCTCCACTGTTCAGCAAAGCTAGTGGAGCGGGTTGCACTATTTGCCCATAGTGACACTGAGCTTCATGCCCCCAAGCTACGCTATTCCTGCCAAGTTGCTCCTTGGAAAGGTCACGAAGTCCTTCTTCAAGGTTTGTGAGGTCGCTCAGCTCAGTCATTCTCTCCGGATGCTTCAGAGGAGTCCGAGAGAACCAACCTGAGATGGCGTTGTTGGGAGCCAAAATCGGCTGCAGAGAGTCAAGTTGCTCGCTCACCTCCAGAAATCAAAAGCATTGCCTTCCTCTATCTTCCGTTTGCTCTGGAACCAACCTGCTGGTTCACTATGATTCAATTACAAGTAGAAACAGCAAAACAAAAGAACGAGCATGCGTTCAATCCGGCTCAGTGCTCGGAGACTCCAAAATACTCTGGAAAGTGAAAAGGTACTGCTGGACTGGTGGAATCGACACCAAATGCGCCTCTTGCTGTGCGGCCGTCCGTTCAGCTGTTCGACACGAGCTTCACCGGTTTGACTCCCCCGGCGGCTGGCTACACCAATCTCCTAGACCGCCTAAACCATCAACACTGGGACAAGTGAAATGGGCTTTCCAGTGCCCACGTCTTTCAATTCTCAGTGGTATGCCCTTGTGCACGGTATAATATGTTGGGAGTACTAACGAGGTGATGGGAAAAGGATCGTTTCAAGAGTATCGCCTAAAACGAGTCTTCGACTCGAGTCACTGCCCGGAAGGTGGAGTTGTCTTCATCCACACGCATGCATGGGTTTGGTGTCAGGTGTGTCAGGTGTGGAGGGCCTTTCACTGTTTGTAAGAAGGAGGGCACCATGTCGCGTTCCTCGAATGAATTGCGACATGACGCGCCTTTCATCGGGCTCG